ACGACGACTAAAGAGTTCGTGGAACTCTACCTTGAAACGGGGGTAATGTTACAAGTAACATCGGCTACATGGCCCCCCTATCATTTTTCCCCTTTGTCCTCGCCCTCGTATGCCTCCGGCTCGCACTTCTCTACCGACTATCCGTTGACCGGATCCTCGGGACCGTTCCCGTCCCTCATCCCCCTCCTATCGCACCAACGTGCGCCCGTGCCTTCGGGCTATGACTCGTTCTGACTCGTGCCACCAATGTGGCTTTCCTTATCTTGTCTTATCTTTCCTTTGACTCGTGCATGATGCACATTGTATCATTTACCGTTGGATCGTTCCAACGTTTCTCGGTCTCATTCCGCATTCGACCTTACATCACTAATCAGGCTCTGCTACCAGCGTACCTATACCCTTTCCGTTTCCCCTTTGCCCTTACCTACAGTACGGTAGCCTTGCCCTTAACCCTTTCCACTTAGTATAAGTAGTCGGTCACTCTGTACTAGATTCCCTAACTTGAATCTACTCAATCTTCCCTCGAACATACTTCCCTCTGAAGCCCCCTCAGCTTCAGTCTCTAGTATCTTTTCTTAGGTGCTCATCGCGCCTAAGTCCACCTCGATCGACTACTCATCGTTCGGACAAGACTGTCCTTACTTTGAGATCGTCAGTGACTTTGAAGACATCCGTCTTAGAAGTCACGTGACACGCGCGTCTCTGATATCTGCCGACTCGACGTCGCCAGTCTCAGTCGCTACACCGGACCCTTCCGGTTACGTCACGAACGTTAGCGGACGACGCCCCTCTTAGGGCTCCGTATAACAGATCTATTTGAGTGCGTAACAATTTCCCCAGAAGATGTGGGTCAATGGGCAGGTGTTAGTGTGGGGTCAGTAATCAATTGCAGCAACCGTGTCATGATTGCCCTCCTTGATCTGCATGACACATTCATCCAATTTCCTACTCCTGACTCCGAAGATGCTGAGCATGCTCAGCAATTTGTTGAGGCTAGGTCCTGCCCTGAGTGGAGAAATGGTATTTTTGCAATTGATGGTTCTGCCATTAATTTGTATGAAAAACCTGATCTTTATGGTGAGGCATTTTATGACAGGAAGTCTAACTATTCCCTCAACTGTCAGGTATTTTTTTTCTCTTATTCTAACGGTCAGAAATTAATAAAAGATTCAGGCAATCATTATGCCCCATAACCTCCTCATAGTTGATTATTCACTGGGTAACCCTGGCAGTACACATGATGCTTATGCCTTCAAATCCACTCGTGTTTATCAGAAGCATGACACTCTTCTTCCAGAGGACCATTGGATTTGGGCAGATAGTGCCTACCCACTTGAGAAGTGGTGCATTGCCCCTTTCAAGAAGCCACGTAATGGGAGGTTGACCAGGGACCAGAAATCCTTCAATATTAACCTCTCTCGGGTATTTCTAATTTTTTTGCTGATTTTTGCAATTTTCACTGATTTTTTATTCATATAGGTCCGTGTTCGTGTTGAACATGCATTTGCAGCTTTGAAAGGACGATTCCAGTCTCTCAAGGAACTTAGGCACCCACTTCAGAACCAGAAGGATCTTCAGGTCACTCTGCATTGGGTTAGGTGTTGCCTAATCCTTCATAATATGATCATCCACTTCGAGGAGATTCGCAAGAAATCCACACTTGTATGGGCTGTTCGAGAGGGGAACAATACTATACGCCATGAGGATGAAGGACCAGATGGTGATGAAGTAGTGGGTGATAGGTCTTATGAAGGCACTCCAGGTCAAGCTCACAGGGCAAGGCTGATGGATTTGTTGTTTGATAGCCCTCATTCACAAGCACACCATCAGGCAGATTGAGCAAACAAGCAGAGTAACATTGTGTATAGCTAAACAAATGTACTACTAAATTTTACAACTAGTGATCAACTTGTGGCCATATGTGAGAACACTACATGCAAACATAACAAGACATATAACATCCAAGACATGTAAGAGTATAACGACACGAGAACACGACAACAACAACACGAGAATGTGATGATGACGACGACGACGCGAGAAGGTGATGATGATGACGACGACGCGAGAAGGTGATGATGATGACGACGACGACGCGAGAAGGTGATGACGACGACGACGCAAGAACATGATGATGATGATGGCGGCGCAAGAACGTGATGATGATGACGACACGAGAAGTCAGGTACCAGCAGGTTTGCCACCCTGGGCATTGAGCTGGGCCCACTGAATCCGGAGGCGTAGAACATCTGCTTCCGAGGCAAAAGCGGCGGCATCTGCTTCACGTAGGCGAATATCTACCTCTTTAGCCTCCTTCATGCGCTGATGGACTATGGCAGCATCTGCGCGCTCATCCATATGCTCCTCACGCATCAGACGATGCTCCTTGTCCTGGCGACTAGCGTTGAGCTTCACCATAAGGCGCTCATTCTTCAGCTGATATAAGGTTAGCTTGTCAGAGTGAATACTTTCCAGGTCGTCGTTGAGTGCATCCATTTGCTCGCGAATCTCCGTCCGGAGACGTTTGGAGACTGAACTTGCTGGCGTCGTCGAGACAGATGTTTGCGCTGTTGGGGAGGACTGTTGCGATGACGGCTCGTGAGATGATGATGGCTTTCGAGAGTGCGACGACGAGCGCGACCCTGATGATGCCATAGAGCCCGATTTACTCTTTTCACGCATCATCACCTGGCTAACATGCAACTTGAATGTAGCGCGATCATGCTGGACGGAAGTGCAGGGAGGCACCTGTTGCGTATGAGAGGTAGTAGTAGGGGAGGGGGGGGAAGGGGGCTCCTGGCGCTTCTTCCCAGCCCTGCGTCTTGGCGGGCTGTCCAGGCTGATAGCATTGCTGTCATCGTGAATAATTTCATCCGGGGAATCCATATTAAGATCCTCCATCTCACCCGCAAGAGGGTTGTCATCGTAGATACCGTCAAAATTATAATCATCAGTAGGGGAATGAGCGACGGGAGAGTAAGTACCATTGTGAGATGTAGCACCGGAGGGAAGCGGTGGGTAACGAAAAACAGGGGACCCGGCAGAACTGTTGGTGTGAGTGCTTGGGGGCGGTGGCACATAGTTCCATTGCGAAGGGCTACCACCACTGCCTCCAGGAGCAGGGGGAGTGTGACAAAAGGGGGAGGTAGGTGGTGCCGCGGCTGCAGCACCACCTGCATGAGCGTTTGGAGGAAGGTAGTCATAAGTGGGTCCAGTTGATGACCCAGCAACGCCGCCAGCTGGAGCATTCGGGAGAGGCGTGTTGCCAAGTTGCATGGGAGAGCCGGGATCAGTGCTGGAGGAAGCGGGGGGACGAAGAGAGCCACCCGAAGGATGGGTGAGAGAAAAGAGATCACTCGCGTGATCAACGCCCGGCTTTGATGATGATGTTTTGGCGGAGAATGATGGATGGGAGCCCCAGATGGAGTAGAGCTGATCGTACCAGGGAAAGTCCTTCTCGTATTTACCTACAAATTTAATTAGAAGAATTCGTGTAGGGAGGAGAAGACTCACGATGCAAATTCACGCTTGTCTCTGAATCAATGGGCACGATGCCTGCATCCGTGGACTCAAATTCAGCACGAATGTCACGAAATTTAGTGCGGAGGCTGTGATCAGCGATCAGCATTGATGATTATAAAAATAGGGGGGGATCACTTACGCCACGATGCGATTATATACAGAGTCCCGAAATTTGTTGGGATTCGAGGCGTAGAGCACCGCATATTGAGGATCGTCGGAGAAAATAACCCTTGCAATGACAGCATGGATTTCATTTTTGTCTTTGCCTGAGGGGCGGCCCTCAGCTTCACGGTTGGCTGGATTCTTCTTTTCACTGGCGAACAGAATGCGGCAATCTGGTGGGTGTCCAACGAGGTAGTCAACCAGCCTATTGGTCCGCTGGGGAACCGCTTGCCAGCTGATAGAGATAGTAGGAGAAGTAGTAGCTCTATCTTTACCTCCTCTGCCGCGTTTTCCCTTTCCCCGTGCAGGAGGAGCTGGTGGTGGCTCCATAAATTTCAGCCCGGTCTTGCAACGTCGCGGGGAGATGATTTGAGACTGTATCTGTAGTCACGCAGAGCGACGAAGTCGTGGTCGTAGGGCAGGCATGTCTTTTGGGACTCCGATCGATGCCGGCCCAAGCCGTAGTGTGACAAATCTTATTTTTGACCGAGTTTACCGAGCTTTACAGAGCTTAGCGAGCTCTGTGAAATTTACTTTGAACGCTATTATTGTAGATGCGGCTCGTTTCTCCCGATATTTCGTATCACGCTAAACTTATCCATTAATCGTTGAATCGAACCTGCGCACTATCACTGTATGCACTGTGTTATTTACTGCAAAGTACTCATATCATCCTCTTGGTCCAATTCAAGTGCTCGATCAAATACCATCGGACGAAGCCATCCCACGACATGATATATATCCAACAAAAAACAAGAACTAGAATACATGGGAAGGCAATTGGCTACGCATATGATTTACAAGGGCAAGTATGGCAAGTATGAACTATCAATATGTATAGTCGAGGCAAAGTATGGCCTCTGTCCCGCTCATTCCTCATCCTCAAAATAGACGACCTGCGCATCCTCGTCTACAGGCACATCCCTATATCCACGCCTCTCGCGGTGGCCCATCCATACAGATTCCCGGTTTGAGTCTCTATATTTGACAGCGATGCCCGCAAGCCCGAGAAGGAACCATGGCACAGATGCCAGCGTAGCCATCACACCAGACCCTGACCCACGCGAATAATTGCCTCCAGGTAAACGGGCGGCCCTGTGTCAACCATAAGCATACAACGCGCACAAATAATGTAGATGTGCTTACCCTTTCGCCGTCCTGCCCTTGTACCACCACCATGCGAAAAGCGCTGTGATCTCAAAGGGGAGCAAAATCACCATAGTCCAGAATATCTTGCTGTGACCATTAATGCCAGGGCACAGGTGTTGCGTGCCTCGGTCTATGCGGTCGCCGCCCTCACAAGTGGAGTAGAGCACCTTGTGATATGGCGTGCGTTCATACCAATAGTCTTCTCCATTGCGACATGAATTATCGGGTGGTCGTGGAGTCGTCCCCGGTACAAGAACACATTTGCCTTCCCCGTTGCGGACATAGTTGAATTCGCTGTTTTTCGTGCCGAGATTGAATTAGTTCTGAGCGGGTGTTATCATACCCGTGACTCACCACTCAAAGTCCTCCAGCGTACATGTGCAATTCCGTACAATGTTGTCCAGTGCCTTAGGCGTGTCTCCAACAACACAGTTCACATCCCGTTTGCGGCGATGGTAGAGCGTCTGTATATGATATGGGTGACAAACGAAAAACGAAAATTCGGGCTACTGACCTGTCGACCGAACAAGCAAAGCGAGTCTCTTTCTTCGCTGGGGCTCCACAACTCAAAGTCATCGTGTCCAGGGTGTTCGTTATCCACGAGGCCTGGAAGAATGAGTTCACCATCAATCATCGAGCAAAGAGTACCCAACTCACATCTCTTATGCGTGAGAGGTGAGAAGTCCAAGTGCACGATCACCGAGCTGGACGTCGCGGGGTAACGACCCAGTAGCATGAACTTCCGGCTTGTATCCTCTGGCACCGTCACTATATCCCTCACTCTGATCTTCTCAGTCGTGAACTTGAATTCTCGCCAAGTAAGACCCTCATCTGTGGTAAACAGGACGTGGTCCGTCGGCTCCTCATCATTCGCGATCACAATGATAGACCCTGAGTCGCCGAACTTCCAGAGGTGGGCATCCTTGTGGACTTCTTCCCATGTGAACCCGCCATCCCGGGACAGGAAGGTATCGCTCTCTGTGTAGGTGGCGAGCGAATCACCCACGTTCCCGACTGCCATCACCACACCGACGACGGATGGGCTGCTATATGTTGCCCGGGCATCGACGCGCTCTGTATACCCGTGAACGTGAAGTGCGCAGCCCTATGCACGACCAAATAGGTCAATTGATAGCAATGGTAAAGAAAGCGCGACATACCGCTGATTTACAAGGGTACTTCACACCCAACGAATCTACCGAAGGGGGTGAAAGCGGCTTCCAAGTGCCACCTGACGCAACAAGCAACCGTCAACAAGAGGCAAAAGATACCCATGGAAAAGGCTTACCGTCGTTATGCGTGATTTTCGTCTGCAGAGCCTTACGTCCCGTAAGCGCAGCCTCCGCAGGATTGGACACTACATTGACCATCGCAATGCCATCCAATCCCGCGAACTTTTCAAAGTCGACGAAGCCTTCATTGTTCCTGTTCACGTTCTCGATGGATAGGCCAAAGTAAGTTCCGTTAGAGTTGGATTTCAGCATGTTGCCCCATGGCGTTGGAAACTCGTTCATGGTCATGTGTAGGAAGATAGATTTAGTGCTTGAGTCGAGGACGGTGTATGCCTAGAGAACATCATGAACAGTTCCAATGTGTGTAGAGTTAGAACGAGCTGCCTACGTGAGAATCTGGATGCATGCCAGGAGGGAAGTTCCCAGAAGCAAACGTCTGTCCATCAAGTGAGACCTGGATGTTAAGCGTGCCCCTCATCGGGAGGTACTGCAAGCACACAACTAGTCAATCAACAGCACACATACAGATCAACCAAAAAAAACTGACCTCAGCCACGACCAAAAACTCTGAAAACTTGGTGAACCCCGCGACATGGTCAAACAACTTCGTCTTTGTCGCATAATAGTCCGTCCCAGACACAAGCTGCAACGCATTGTCTTTCCCGAAAAACACCTGCGAGCCTTTTTTGTCCGCATACGACTCGCATAGGATCTGTGATGAATCGATCCGCAGCTCCTCATCGCGTGCCCAGTCACAATTCACGACATAGTCCTCCACCAACCGCCAATTCCGTCCATTGTTCCGCGTATACTGAGCCTGCGCGCGACAGTTGTACCCTGATTCGCAGTCCGCATTACCGATCCAGATGAGATAGTCGGACTTGGTCTGGAAGCGGAGCACTTGAGCCCCGAAGGTGTTGGGAGGCGAAGGTGCTTGGGAGGAGTGCCAGTAGCGGCCTGTGTCTGTTGTGTAGAAGAACTTATTGGAGTCAGTGATAAGGTATGCGCGCTCATTGCTGTGCGTATGCATATAGAACGCGAGGAAACGCTCTTCTGGGAACTTTTGTTCCCATGTGTAACCTTCATTGCTAGATTGCCATATTGTGAAGTCGGAAAGACGGACGAGAACGGTCTAGAGGCAGACGTAAGTTGAAGTATTGATGGTACGATGTATACGACCCTCACCTTCGAGTCCCTGAAATACGCGCTCTGTACAATATCACTAGAGAATGAATGCTACAACATCGTAAGTTTCCATACTGGGAAGAAAAGCCAGAACAAAGCCATACAATCTGGTGAACGATCGCTCCTTCAAGAGGTTCAGCTGCAAATGACGCATGAGACACAGACCCTCCATCTATTCTGAAGCACTCACCTCCGGAACAATCTTTAGATACGGGCTTGTCCATGCGAGAGCCACCTTGACACTTGTTCCCAGGGATCTTGCGATATCCTGATGAACCCATGTACTTTTCGTCGGGCGTCCCAAGGGTGCACTGGGTGCTAGGTATGCGCTCTGGACCCGTAGGCACACATTTACCATCGCTCCGCACGTAGTTGTAGTCACTAGAACACATGAGCAGTTGTGATGGGCAGAGTAATCAAGAACGACGTACCACTCATAATCATGTTCCTCACATGAGCACGTATCATCATGAACTTCCGGATCGTGAAACTTCTCGCCCATGTAGCAATCTGCATTAGCCTTGCGCCTGGTGTACCATTGCTTCAAAGTACATCAGCAAGACCATTCTCATGACGAGGTTTACATCTCAGTAACAGACCTTGGCACCCATGATGCACTCTGATCTAGTACTGGCTCTTGCGTACCATGACTCCTTGTCGTTAGGACCACACTTCCGGCGCCCGAGGGTGGCAAAATCGAGGTAGATAGCAGCGTTGCGGCCCTCATTGGGTTGTTGGGACTGCCGCGTGACCTGGCCGAGGAGAAGAAACTTCTGAGATGTCGAATCCGATACCGTCGTCAGCCTCTTAGCACGGAATTGGATCCCGACATTGTACGTGTTCCTACAGGGATTTCAATAAGATAGCACATATGCACCCACAGCGAGCGGCAGGGTGGAAAGACGTACCAGGTCCGACCCATATCCGTGGAGTACATGATGGAGTCGGTAGGTTGCTCGTCGTCGACGATGACGATGACAGTTCCGGAATCGCCAAATTCGTATTGACATGCGCCTTCGCGGACCATGGTCCATGTCAGGCCGGCGTCCGCGCTCATGTAGGTGTTGCTCTCCTCATACGGCGCGAGCGCCTTTCCAACGGAACCAACGCCCATAGCGAAGCCAGGGGCGGGGGACGAGAAAACAGGGCCACTGTCGTGCATGTCTGTTACCGAGTGCAAGTGCAGCGAACATGGTTCGGAGGAGCAGGTCCCGCGAGGAGCGACAAGAGAATCCCATGAGCTGCCTGGGAAGACGTAAGGTCACTTCAAAATAAAACAAGAAACATCGTTCCTCACCATCATTAAATGTGATGACCGACCGTAATTGCTTGGCTGCCATCTTCCTCTCAACGTCTTGCGCATTAGCAATGACATTGGCAATACCAACACCATCGACGCCATATATGGTATCGTAGTCAACGTACCCCGCTATGTTCCTGTTCGTGTCCGTCAAGCTCTCGACAAAATAGGTGCCGTTAGAGTTGCTGACAAACAGAGTACCGACAGTAGTTAAGTCTTGCAAGACGATATCTACTGCTAGAGAATGGACCGTAGACTCGACGATGGTGTATGCATTCTCCCGCAAGCGCGCCTGGGAGGTATGCGGGAAATGTGCCTTGGCCCATTCCTTGGTGTTCACAGTAACATAGAATAGCATGTCACCCTCGCTGCCGGGCGTCAAGTCCTTGAGCACAACCACAGCGAACTTGGACACGATCGCAAATACCACGACGCCTTTGGCATTCTTGCCAATGCCAAGGTCTTCGTTCTGCTTGGTAGCAAAAAAGTCTGTGCTAGAGTACAGACGACTGCTTGCAATATTGTGCGAGCCGATCATAGCGGAAGAGTCATAGGCGACGCAGTAGATAAGGTCTTCGTGAGCGTCATGTTTGAAATCCTTCGTACTGTGAGCAAATTGACAACGAGAGACATCATCTAGGAGTAGTTGTGGTGATGAGGCAAATCCATCTTTGGTGTAGTATGTCTGCATAGAAATTTAGATGCAAGTAATACATATATATCTATATTAATAAGGACGTACCACATCTCGACATTGTTCTCCCGAGGAAACTGTGTCACATTTGGTGGCCTGGAAGAGGGTATACTCCCACTTTTTGGGATCTGAGTGGAATGAGAGTGGTGCTTCGACATAGGCTAGTAGCTCAGGAACGTTGAACGTGCGCCATGACTTTCCGCGGTTGTCTGTGCGGTAATGCGTGTAGGAATTTGTTAATACGAATGCCTGGATAGAATTCAGTCAGATCGAAAGCTACATCGGTGTGTTCAAGGCGAATGAAATATAGTGAGAATAAGAGTATGAACAGTAACGCACCACGCGATTGTTGAATGGATGTTCAATAAACATTGCAGCCTCGCCAGGTGGTATGTCATCTGCGCGTTTCCAGGTCTTGCCTTCATCATGAGAAACATGTATTTCCCCGAAGATGGCATCGTGGTATATCACACTCTAGAGGATCAAGTGAATTATTATTGAGTGAACCCCGAGGCAGATATGAATGCCTCACAGTCGTATCATCGAAAAAGAACAACCGAGTTGGTGCATTGTCGAAGTAGCTTATGGCATGCTCTGGCCCGGGATCAGCAGCAAACGTGAAAGCAAAACAAAGAAGAAAAGCAAGCGTTGACCACATGAAAGCGGCTGTCCTGTGCCAGGGAGCCATGCAGGATATTGTATGCTGTCGAAACTAGGAAAATGTGTCGCTTCGAAAACCAAGCTGTTGATTTGTCGTCGGCTGAGGGTCAGTGAGCGAGGTCCCGGATAGCGGCAATGCCGGCCTAGTATAGTTAGGACGATCGCACATACAGAAGGCACGCATTGAAAAACACACGGAGATAACAAGAAAACACACGCAAATAGGAGACTGCCATTTGATCATAGCAATTCGGGGGAGCTTGAAGCTCGGGTTGACGCGAATTGCTTCCTCGGGATTAAACGTATGAAGCGATCAACAAGGTCCAACTTATGCGATCAGCCAAATCATTAAGTAATCAATTCAATGGACCCTGGTCACGAGTCGCTTGCATGATTCACAGCCTAAATCTGTACTAGTAGACGGAGAAGTGGTTGTTATTCTTCTCTCTTTGCACAGATTTGATTCAAACCAATTGTGGCCTAGCAACTACACCTATGACCTGGGGCCAGTTGGCCGTTTCTCCATTCAATTTATTTTGAATCATGTCCAAATCACGCTTTTATGGTACGTCATCATTCTTGAGCGGACTGGCATCTAAGCATCTGTGTGAATCGAGGAAAGTCTAAGGTCAAGTCTATGATAGACTCTGGGGGTTTTGTTGACACTGCTCATCGTCGAATGTTCCCGGTCGAGACGAATCCTTTCACAATGCAGGTAAGGACAGATAGTGTTTAGGCCATGAATCCCTCTCACCTCGCGGCGGTGAGCCGTGCTCGTCAAATTGGTCGTGAAGAGTCTACAGGCAAGCGCTTCATGTATCCTTTATGCGGCGAAGCTTCATTCCCTACCTTCTAGGATCGTGTACAGATCAGGTCACCACTTCAAAGGTGATCAGCCAGATGCCCCCGCTGCTCGAATCAATTGAATACGTGCACGAGACTCCGAACTTTTTTTAAAAAAAAGGGAGGCCGTGCCACGAAGTACAGCAAAGTACTTGCGTCCAACTCTTAGTGACATGAAGGAGAGACTCCTAGGAGTTTTTTCATGCTGGTTCAAGACCATTTCGCACAAATGCCTCTCACAGTGTATTACATAAAAACCTTGCTGCAAAAACTATTTGTCCTGTTATCGGATGAGTCAATACTTTGACAACTTCCCCAGTGGGGTCGCTAGTCCTCCATAACAGGTCTTCCGCGATTGTATATCTCCGGATCTCGGCTATCAGAATTTCACAGCCGGTTTTTCAAAGCTTAGCCTCGACCTCCCAATCGGGTCCACCCCAAATTAAGATGAAGTTACTAAAAGTCCCGGAGCTAAATTTGAAAAACTCGTGTTGAAGGTATTTATGTAACACACTAGAGGCATTTGTGCGAAATCATGAACCCTGAGGCATTTGTGCGGAAGTCATAAACGTGCTGGCCACCGCACAAAGGTAACATACCTTCGCCGATACGCCCGGTTCGAACCAGGTTATGGCACTATCAGGGAGCATCATCCCGTGCCCTGTTCCAACTCGGGGCTTTGATCGGTTCCGTCAAACATGAGGCCTTGAGGTATGTCACAGCCTATCACCTGTTCTTGATACAGGGATGATTCTACACTTTCAAATCGGCACATGCGTTCTGTCGGCTGCATTCCCCCGAAGTCCAACATGTGTTTGTGTCAAGTTTATCATGGTGTCCTGCTCGGTTCCTGCTCAGGTTCTGGTTCTGAACGTTCACTTGACTCACACGTCGACACAAATAGGTGCCTCTACCGAACAGATTTCTGTCTTCATGACGATTATCTAACCTACAGGAAGACCCCTTGATGTAATGCATAAGTGCTTGTTATCTCAACTAACGATACTTACTCAGCTGACTGGTATCAGGGCGCTCTTTTCCGAAACAGGGCTCTCCCGTTAATTGCCGCGATATATCGCCATTGCAGTCACAACTGTGGTATGCCAAAGGACATCGCGTTTTGCTACCTCGTACAGCTTCACATATAGCTGATTGTGTCTTATTTCATGTCTTCATCAAAGAGCAAGCCGTCACCCTCCGTTGGAAATGTGATTACACGCTGAATTTGCTCATTGCCCACAGGGTAAACGGTGGCGGGAAGGATGCTATTCGTGTGACCCAACCGATGACTTCGGTGCAATAATACTGCATGAGTTCTTCTAGTAGTGAGACTAACGACGCCACAGATTTTACCCAAAATTCGTGCCCGAGGCACTTTATGCGGTTGCACGATTAGTTCATGGTCGAATGTAGTCGTACTACTCATGTGTATTTCTACCAGCAGGCTACTGTAGACTGATATGATATGCAATGATGTGTGTTGCTGGACTGAACATTGAGGAGATCGGCGTTTGCGATCTCACTACTGGCACGAGGATCAAGTAACCGAATTAAGTGGTCAATCATGCAATCTACATTAACCACGGCATGACAAACTGGGCTAGCGCTCACGAAACCGCGGGGAACTGGATTCGCGAACTTACTGATGGCTGGTTCGGTGCTATTAGTTCGGAAGCAAGATTTGCAGGGCATGCAGTGCAGCAGCAGAAGATCAAGTTCGACAGTAGGATACACAAATCGGGTTTCTTCTCGTATGTCCGATCTTCGTCAACCGGAGAGGTGATGCGTAGAGAGGTCGGCCAAAGACAATGCAACACCCAGTACCTGTTAAACGAAAGGAAAGGGGATGAGACTAGTTCTAGAAGGAGTAGAGGAAGCGCAATGAAACATGTCACCATATCAAGAGCCTGAAGAAGGCGTCCAGGCGCAAGCCGTGACCATTGTACAGGATAGACATCATGATACGGACAACAGAAATAGACTAGACACGGTATCATAGATCCAACGTGGGACCTCGGCCCAGCGGACAACAAACAAGGATAATAAAAAATCGACCATCAAGCTGAGCTTTCTATGGAATCGCTCCAAGCCATGCTGTTGTCAAAGCCAATTTCCCTAGACAGACGAACTTAGAAACACGAGGGAAATGTGGAGCAGAAGGGAACTTTCTAGACCCGGAGTTGTCGAGGAAGGTAGTGAGCGCAAAGCAGGCGATGTGCAGGGTCCAGATAACAAGTAACACGCTATTCCTTATAGACGACAAGAAAATATACTTGGTGAGTGATTGAGATCTTACACGACTCACTTTGTCGACATGTAGGCCGCTGATCCGGGGCCGAACAGAATAGGAAGAATTGCATTATCGAAGTCGGAAATGGAGCAGGCTTGCAGGGTAACAAGGCTGTGAGCTTTGGGTGTCAGTTGCGAACAACAAAGATGAATGGAGAACCGAACTGCTTAGCTTTGCTAACCTTTGCCACGGAAGAGAACCTTCAGGGAAAAGAGTTCAGGCAGTGCATCTTGTACTAATCCATTTTCGACGGTCATGTTCCGAAGAGCAGTCAGCTGTGTTGAAGACGCGACATTACAGGCATGGTATTTCGTGCTGTATACAAGACATGGCAGAAGAAGTAAGACTTGAAGGACCATATCATCGGCGGTCGTGATGATCGGCAACCGGAAAGCATTCTCCACGCATCAAATAGCAGACAGTCATGACAATCATTTTCCACAGAACCCTTCTACAAAGTGGGTATTGAGGAACATAAACGTAAATGCATTGGAAGAGAGAACGCAGCCAAAGGAATACAAATACAAGAAATATGGCTAGAGATCAGAACTCCACATATCGGCCACGTGCATCAAGATTTGAAAATGTACAATGAGATTTACATTTAGCCCTGTTGACTTGGTCACAGCAGACAACAGGAAGGCTAAGCAAGGTTCACGACGGTAACACCGGCCCCTTGTGGTTGAAAGGGTATGATCAAATCTGAATGTTAGGGATGTGAGGTAGCGTGAAATTCGGCTGATTGTCATAGATTGGGCACAAGCGGTCCCACTCAGCTGTAAAGCAGTTCAGCAATAGAAGAACGGATTCATAACGTATGACCTACCTGGCACGGGGTCCACATATGCGGGGGTATCCGCGGGACTTTCTGCGAAAACTACGCCAAAACCGCTAAATATGAAGGATTAGCCATTTCGCTCACGGGAAGATTTACACACTTACGCTGCAAGGTGCCAGTCGATGTGGCTGTGTGGTTCAGAGTTAGTATCTTTCTTGACAGCTCAATAAAAAGGTGACATACCAATGCAAGAACCAGGGGCCAGAGTTGTCAGTCACGAATCGGATCACCGTTCTTTGCCCAGGATGCCCAGCGCTGACCACATCACGGCGAACAGGGTTCACGTAATTGTAAGCACTGCTGCCCGCACTCTGTACTACATCAAATGCATGCTAATAATCAAGAGCACCAGTCAGAAATGCCTTCGGAATGACGGCGAACTTACCCCGTGAAGATGAATGGGATGCTGGTACGATATAAATATGCATCAGTCACGTAAATATCGAATGAATGGAAAAGACGAACAGGTCCACCGATAGCGCTTTGCATTCCTATCGTTACCTCTACCACTTTGTTGGGCTCCAGAACGTACACACTTCCGGCTGGGAGCAGCTCAGTAGCTTGTCGAGCTCCACTAAGAATTTGAAGTAGAACAGGAACGGTGTGGTTTCCAAGGGTGGTGTTTCCGAATGTGATACCATTGATATAGAATTGGAAGTCTGGGGCTTTGACGCTAACCTCCAAGTCGAGGTTGACATCTGCGTTCCCGTACCCTGGAGTACCAGGGACACCGGGACTGCCCAGAGCATGCAAGTTGGTCTCTTGCAATGGCTTCGTGGGTGGAAGAGCGACCGTAATCGGGTTGACCGCTGGGGCGCCTTGATAGCGTAGGATAGCAGAGTTCACTCCTCCGATGTAGTTTGCACCCGGCGTATTAGGAAGACCGCGTATCCAGTAGTTTCTCACCGACTGATCGGCTACTAGAACCACAGAGTAGCGCTGGCCCGCAAGGATCTGGAGCTGATCAACCACCAGAGGTTCTGTCGGCTGTCCATCCGCTTCGATGACAGTCAAGCTGTGACCATCGATGGAGAATTTGACGTCGGATTGGCATGACATTTGAATCAGGCGCAGGCGATATCGCTTTCCCGGCGTCACATTGATCACTGCAAGATCAGACGGGGGTCCGCCAACGTGGCGACCGAGTCCATTGATAAGCATAGAATCGGCAATAGATGGAACACCGAGCAATTTGGGGGATACAACATGATACCTAGTGACCATGAGCTAATCGAGCAGATTGACCACGTTTGTAAAACTCACCAGTCGGCAAGTGAGATCACGGTAGTTTCTGGAAACACATGATGGTCAGAGAGCTCATATGAACTAATTTCTCGCTCACCATCGTCGACATCGTACATGTGTGCCAAAGGGTCGTCAGGGTCATAGATGATCAGGGCTCCCCTGAGACCATCACACTGTTCCATAGGTTAGTCCTTCACTGCACATGCAAGGTTCGAGTGATACTTGCATATTGAGAGGAAAAATGACTATGATACCAGAAAGTGCCTGTCTGGTTTTCCGCAGTGAAAGTATGTAGAAAAGAGTGGTTCTGCGTAATGGGGCATTGTGTGACGAAGGCCGTCCCATCGGCATAGTTTGACCGATTCTGGGAGATGCCATGCCAGTGCTACCATGAACAACATTAATTTTAACAACCTGCATGATGATTTGAAACTGCTTACAACACTGGTTTGCAGGAACATAGATTCGTCGCTGAGTTGGTTGACCACCTCAATATTAAACAGATCACCCTATTGTAAGGTCAGCACTGGCCCCCAACAAGGATAATAATAAAAATTACCTTCTGAGCTGCAATCAAGGGTCCAGGAAACATGCCATTGACAACAGTTGCTCTGTCAAAGATCAGGAATGAGTTTGAGTGCTACGATAATAGACTTACGGGCGTACGAAGCCATCGGGACCAATGACTGCATTGCCTATGGTCAATCTAGTTGAGGGACCATGTGCAGCGCCCTGAGATAATGGGTACTCTGAGCGAGACACAGCTATAGCTGTTACATCAATCGATGAGATGAGAGAAACGAGCAGACAAAGAATAAACATCGCGATTTTTCACGATGGATAGTGAGGCTGCCCTTGGCGAGAGTAGGGAGAAGCAGGATAATATTATAATGCTTTTGTAGCTTTTATATTGCAGCAGTAGATAGCTTTATTGTCATTCAAAATAATTCGCACCGCAAAACGGCTACTTAGCGCCCCGGTCCCAACGGTGTACTGCTACGGAGTTAGGGTTGTAGCAATGATCTGTCGATCCGTTCAAAAATAATAACGTACCACGAAGCCGTGATTCGGATCTGATCCAACATAATTTGAACAGCAAAACGGCTAACCGACCCTAGGTGTGGTGCTAGGCCATAATAGCTTGAATGAAACCTTTGTATGCAGGAAAAGAAGAACGTAAATGACCGAAGGTGCCCCTCGGTCAAGTACGGAAGCCATGCGAGATTCAGACTAGCAGTTATCATGGTCGCACGATATTAGGTACTATGTGATGGTAGCATGTCAGGACCTTGGAAGGTGCCGAGTGTGTAGTACTAGCCACCTAGCTGTCTGCATATAATTTTGAAAGGAGATAAGCCGGTAGCCTTGATGAGAATGGGGATGATTGAAGATTGTACCATTATTGGATCGTGCAAGTTAGGCTGAAGAACTTGTACTTTAATGAAAGTTGTCGGCTGGCAGCAGTAACGGTGATTGTGGTACCAAAATTAACCAAATGCACGACTTGGAGGCCACAGATAGTTAAGTTTTGATGTTAATGTTGATTTGGGGCCTGGCTTATGAGGGCCTGAGGTCATGCCTTACGAGTTACAGTCACTACCGGCCTGGTTGACCGTTGGTTGGCGCAAAGAGAAGTGATAGGCTAAGGTTAGGGTCAGAACTCAAGTTGGTTACATAATGTAAATGGCGGTCGATTGACTCGATTCACACAGGATGTCTAATACAATGACATTCTCTGCTTAATCGTACTTTGAAACACAACCGCAACCTCCTTCACTCGTCGCCGACATATATCAGGGCGTTCACGAATTTACCTTTTCCTCTGAGCTTCACATGCCATCATCCTACATGGGCCGGCGTTGCCACCGTAGACCTCCCCTTATCGCAAATCAACAGGGATACCCATGTATTGTACACTTTTACATAAATCGCCACATGAATTTTGTCGGCTACTGATATTCTCCCGAAGTTCCAGTGTTGTTTGATCATGGTGCCTTACTCGGTCCCATAGTCTTGTATCTCTTTCATCATGGCGTCTTGCTCGGTACCACAGTCTACCGTTCTGATGGCAAATCTGACCTTGCTACTTCTGGCTAAATCGTGTGCTTCAATACAGGTCAAGGCGGAAATTTAGCATCAGTGGTGTAGTACGTATGTCAAACCTAAGAAACAATTCGCGTCCACCTGAGCTCCACATGTTCTCCGAATATCTCGAGCGCTCACCAGATAGTGTGCACATGATCAGTGAGCACGTCCTATTTACGTGTGTTCTTTGCTCATCTCCGTCTCTACCCCTTCTTTTGCAATTGTGCTACCTTTTCTCATCTGTGTCTTCTCCGCCACGGTTATGACGTTTCTCTCCTAACTATACCATCATTCACGTGTCCGTCTTCATCATAGATTCGTGGAAGTTCACATCTCATACCGAAGAAATACATTACCCACTACCTTCTCTTTCAATCAGATCAGCGCGTTAGCGTTCAAGCTGGAACCAAACCAGTTTCTCCTGCGACCTACTTATGCAACGACATTCAACGGATGCTCAAGGGCTCACGTTGGAGAAAGTCATGCTGACCTTGGTACGATGTCGTCGAGGCATTCGAACGCTATCTTCATTCCCAAGAGAAGAGGAAAAGACAACAGCACACGTCGTGTACAGACATCTTATTGTTACTCACGGTAGAAAATGTCCTAAGGTGTAAGCTTGCCGACAGTTTACGACGTTAGGGCCAATTGGTTTGAGTCACATCCTCTCATAATTCTTTGATAACATATATATGTGCGAAGGAATGAAATCGCAAGGCTCGTACAACTGCTTGCTAACATGTTATCTTGGGGGTGTCTTTACAAATAAAACTGGGAGATCTTCTCGGGCAAGCGTCCTCTTTGGCCCTCCTGGTGGAGTAAAAGGTGATCGAGGCTGGTCTTCAACAGAAAGGTTGGGTAGCTCGATGGTAAGTGAGTGATCCTGATCGGAAGGCGGGATATCGACGCCATACGGCTGACACTCGGGAACACTTGATGCTTGATTATTCACGGGAAGCTGCTCTTCGACTAGATGTGGAATGTCGCTGAAAGGACTCTGCACCTGAGTCGTGTGAGTTGTGGTTGTGTTGTAAGGATCGACCGCACTCACCCACGACTTCGGATCGCCACATGCATGGCGCACCGATAAGGGGCAGCAGACCGAACATAGCACAACAAACTTCTCTGTGTCTGGTACTCTGAACTGCATCACGACAGGAGGGGCCAGAACTTTTGATGGTGCAGCAGCAACGAAGGTGCATGTCGCATGCAGCGCGCTGACAGTGGTCATCTCGCTCTGCTTGTACTTGGTGGCTGACTTGGTTTTCGAACGCCAAAGATCATGGAACTTTGAGAACGACGAGAGTGCACGAGACCACAGTCTGTTGAACGGCCTTGGCTCGTCTTTATTGACATTCGATGAGCTTTGCTTGATCCTGGTTGATGAGCGGTGCCGAAGAAACACGCAGATTACAAGAGCACTCATGCCAATCATACAGATTGCGAGAATGACGATGTTTGCGACAGGAAATGAGCCTTGATTTACCTGGGCCGGGCGGGAAGGACTGGACGTAGATGTATCTGGGAAGCTAGCTGTGTTGGTGCCATTAATATTGGAAGGTGCCATAATAGATGGAGTCGAAAGTGGTCCTGGCAGTGACATCCTTCTGATCTCAGCATGGGAATAAGAGGCTGACAATTTTATCAACTTCGCAGAAGATTTCACACTTGACTTGGGGTATCATGATTCGATCCTCGTGGTCACTGACACCCGTGGACACGCAGTATAATTTTACTGGGGTACAGGCTTGAACTTAGCAACGAACGGCACTAAATGTGACCATCATGATAGCCATCACGTTGCATAGCCCTGCGAAGTTTTGCGGCTGCGCGACTGCGCTTTCTGTAACAGAACTATTCAAATAACATCCGCAACGCAAGCTTGATCTCCAACAACCATCAAGACCACCCTTAAACAACAAATAATTTACTATGGAAGACGAAGTAGCAGCCCTCGTAAGTCCATTTCCATACCCGTCGTTCACACCGTCTAGCAAGCTTATCATCAAACTTGTCAGGTTATTGATAATGGTTCCGGCATGTGCAAAGCTGGCTGTAAGTCATCCTCGATCTAATCTATTTCACTGTCTGATCTTCTTGCAGTCGCTGGTGATTCAACACGATCCATGGTGTTGTAAGGATACACAACTGACTGCCTTCTTTAGGTGACGATGCTCCTCGTGCCGTCTTTCCGTACGTTTTCACATCTTATACAACCCTTATGCGCGGGATATTCACAGAAATTGTACAGCTCTATCGTTGGTCGTCCGCGCCACCAGGGTGTTATGGTTGGCATGGGACAGAAAGACTCTTACGTCGGGTATGCTTTGCCTCAGTCGTAGTCGTCGTGAACGAACTTACATCTATACAGTGATGAGGCTCAATCCAAGCGTGGTATCTTAACGCTCAAGTACCCCATCGAGCACGGTATCGTCACGAACTGGGATGACATGGAGAAGATCTGGCATCACACTTTCTACAACGAGCTTCGTGTAGCCCCGGAGGAGCACCCTGTCTTGCTAACCGAGGCTCCCCTCAACCCTAAAGCTAATCGTGAAAAAATGACCCAAATCATGTTCGAGACATTCAATGCACCTGCATTCTATGTCTCAATTCAGGCTGTCTTGTCACTGTACGCTTCCGGTCGTACCACCGGTATTGTCATGGACTCTGGTGATGGTGTCACCCACACTGTGCCTATTTACGAAGGGTTCTCTCTCCCACACGCCATTCTCCGTCTCGATCTTGCTGGTCGTGATCTCACTGACTGTCTCATCAAGAACCTAACCGAGCGTGGTTACTCTTTCACGACGACCGCCGAACGTGAAATTGTCCGCGATATCAAGGAGAAGCTGTGCTACGTCGCCCTTGACTTTGAGCAGGAGATGCAAACTGCCGCACAGTCATCAGCCCTCGAGAAAAGCTACGAACTTCCTGATGGGCACGTCATCACGATCGGTAACGAGCGGTAAGATGATCCCCTGTCGATCATTGGCCATCACATCTCACATAATCGTGAAAGATTCCGTGCACCCGAAGCTCTATTCCAGCCTTCGTTCCTTGGTCTGGAAGCTGCGGGTATCCATGAAACGACGTAAGCAAATATATCAATTACCAGGAATGTTGTCTGATTTTTTCCCTGTCTAGGTACAACTCGATCTTCAAGTGCGATCTTGATGTCCGTCGTGACCTGTATGGTAACGTCGTTTTGTCGGGTGGTACCACCATGTTCCCTGGCATCGCAGATCGTATGCAGAAGGAATTGACCTCGCTCTCGCCGTCAAGCATGAAGGTTAGTACCAGACTCCAGGATATGAGACACAATTCTCATTCATCATCATTTTTAGGTCAAGATCGTCGCTCCCCCTGAGCGGAAATACTCTGTCTGGATCGGTGGTTCCATCTTGGCTTCCCTGTCCACTTTCCAGAATCTGTGGTGTTCAAAGCAGGAGTACGACGAGTCCGGTCCTGGTATCGTCCATCGCAGTGCGTATTTCTCGACACATTACTACCTCTCGATCTCATTCGATTCTACTACAGAGTGCTTCTAAACGTGATCAAAGAGGCAGTGAAAAGGAATCATGTCTCCGCTGTACTAGAATGGCATTGCTTTTGATATTTTACGACTAGAGACGCACTCACATAAGTTAAACCTGAATGTCACAGTTTACTTTTACTCTTTTCAATAGTTTTACGACACATTTTCTTGAATGTCTACGCATTGTCACCAGGCTCACCTATGTAGCGCGGACAACAGTAACATAACTCATTACGTAACAGGTACTCAGGCCCAGGCCCAGGCCCACCATCATTTGAAGCTTTGCAAGCGAGTCTCCGCAATATCCGCCAGGATGACCTCCTTGTTCCTTTGACACACCACCTGTTAAAGCAGCCCTGCGGATGAAACCACTACAACTTCTCACGACTCATAAGCCTCTTTACCTGAGCAACGTCGCCGATCATTGACAATTCTGTCGTTCTCCCTTGTTGGTCCTAGCTGGTGGTCAGACTTACCCTATTGTAAAAAGACTGGAGGAATCAGTGACTCTGTTGTTTATTGTGATTCTGCAGCTGTGAGTCTTCACTGTAAACGGGCACCTACCAGCGTCTGCTTCATCAAAATTGCATGGCTGGGAACTGCAATTTCGGTGATGTGGATTCACTGTCACCATGTCACTTTAAATGCAACCGCTAAAGATTATTTGCATTTTTATTCCTTACGAGAATACACTGCCGAGTTGTTCAAGTGTACTATCTACGAGCTGCGGACGACTCGCTTTCTCCTCGCGAAAGCACCATGTGCCGCGAACGGCGTTGGAATAATATCAAGTGGAACCTCTCCTCGAGAGTGAGGCATACGCTCAACACTCATGTCAAAATAGTCTTCATCGTGAAACTAGAAACACTGTCGGTATCTGTTCTTTCATCAGGCTCTACGTAACGCACGTCCTCGACTGTTCAACTGTCAATCTCAGGACTCAGAGGGTCATCATGTGCTGTGATCAACCTGTCAGTAGGTAATGTCGTCTCAACCCCCTCGCGCAAGGCATACATCTTTGACTGTCGGTATCTCTTCTTTCGTCAAGCTCTACGTAACGCACGTCTTCAACTGTTCAACTGCCAGTCAGTCGAGCCCAGAGGGTCATCATGTCCTGTGATCGACCTGTCACAAAGAATAAGTAAGGTCGTCTCAGACTCCCTCATGCGCGAGGTATATAATGTCCCGCGATCCCGTCACGTTGGTCGGTATATTTTTTCACTCTGCGATCTATGGGATTGAAAAAAATGTCGATCAAAACTAACTTACTGGCCGTTTCACAGACTTTTCTTGCTTTGGCAGCGTTGGCCACCGCGAATGCGCCCATCGTTGACTTAGGTTATGCTCAATACCAGGGTTCGGTGGATACAACTACGAATACCACCAGCTTCCTTGGAATACGGTACGCAGCTCCTCCGCTTGGTGCGTCCAGTTTTGTGTAGTGTATACGATGTCGACTGACACCAAACGCGTAGATAACTTGAGATGGGCAGCTCCGCAGCCTCCACCGACTGTCTCAGGCGTTCGACAAGCTACCACGCAACCAAATCAATGTTATCAAGGACCCCTGGGAAATGCCTCGACGAATCCTTTCGAAAGCATCTCTTTAAGCAAGAGGGATGTCAGTCAGTCAGAAGATTGCTTGTTTTTAAGGTAAGTCCTATCTTAGAACGATCACTGAAACTCAAGATTTGACCGCATCCGGTAGCGTATACACCCCAGGGAGTACAATTGTGACCACTCCATCGGGTGGGCTCCCAGTAGTCGTGTTTATTCATGGAGGGGGGTAAGTAGCGTGTGAAATGATCCCATGTTAGTACAATTGACATCGTTATAGTTATGTTTTAGGAGCTGAGAGTTTATACGATGGTGCAGAGCTAGTCACAGAATCGGACTATGGTATCATCAGTGTCATCATCCAGTACCGCCTCGGTTTGTTCGGTATGTTTTTGCGACTCTGTGGTCTTCGAATGTACCCACTATTCACTAGGTTTTCTTCCTGGAGAAGCGGTCAAAGAAGGGGGTGCGCTCAACGCTGGACTACGTACGTGTTCATAAGTTTTGACAGTATTTCAGACTTAAGCTGAACCTCAATCTCAAGTTGACCAAAATTACGCTTTGCAGTGGGTACAAGCATACGTAAGTAAAGATTTCTACTTGCGTGTTTTGTATTCCGGCTGATAGGAAACTTACCTGATATAGATCAGTCGATTCGGTGGTGACCATACAAAGGTTACGATTTGGGGACAGTCTGCTGGTGAGCCGTGACAAGTACTCTCATCACAATTAGTCTCGTTTCCCATACATTTTCTCAGGCGCCGGTTCTGTGATACAGCATGTTGTTGCTCACGGAGGTAACACACAACCTCCCCTCTTCAGGGCCGCTATGACGAGCTCTACGTTCTTTCCGTCACAATACAATTATAATGATCCTATTCCGGAGGTGATTTTATCCATGAGATCGACATCTGTGGTGACCTGAATACCACTGCCAGATACTGTACAGTATGGTCGTGAACGGAACAAAGCGAGTCCTTTCACAAACAATGTTTGGCCATTACCCAGCTAATACACTCAACTTACAGCTGTGGCTCAAGTTCGGATACCCTTTCTTGCCTGCGCGCTGTAAACGTAAACACGCTGCAAACCTTGAACACTAACATCAACCTCGATGGCTTCCATGGCATGATCGCATTCATCCCTGTTGTGGATGGGACTTTCATCGTGGAAAGACCCACCCTAACACTCAGCAAGGGCCGCCTGAATGGTGTAAGTCGGATGAAAGAAGCTATCTCAGAGCGACACCCTTACCCTCCTTTTAGAACCACCTTCTTTCGGTAACGAATGCGCATGAGGGGAACGTCCTTGTGGATCAGTCAATGACAATGGATATTGCTGATTTTATCGGGACGGTTTACCCGGACTTCGGTCCTGCTCAGATCGCTGGAGCAGCGTTGTTGTACCAAAACATGGGAAGCAATGTCAATCAGGCAAATCTTGTGATAGGCGAATGTGCGTATGTCCCTTGGAGAAATCACCCCTGCTCCTGATTTCATGAGTGGATTTAGCAATGTTCCTCTGCCCTACTTATTATATGCTCGAAGCTTTCAGAGGACGAGCGTGGAAGGTAAGCTCAAGGTAAATCTCAATTACGTGTGCGCCTAACAAAAGCAGGGCGAGTTTGCAATTCCACCTGGGCTGCATGGAGATGATATTGGAGAGTACTTCACTTCATATACGTAAGCCCGGTGTGAAGGGTCACTGCTCACTCTGATGCATTCTGTTTCAGGAGTGGCCCTCAATTCATTGACGGTCCCTTATACAATAATTCTCAGTTCATTACTTCCTTTTCGAATTCCTTCATGGCTATGGTCATGTTTGAGACTCCTGACCACAGATACACCCCAGGGGATATCACACCTCCCTGGCACATCTGGCAACAAGGTCTCACAGAGATGATCTTCAATGAGACTTCTACGGGATTACCTCATGTGTACACGTCCACGACCGACCTGGCCTTACTCGAGCGTTGCGCGTGAGTACATATCATATTTGCTATGGTGCTGAGTTAAACGCATATACATAGCTACTGGCGAAGTGTGTCGGCGTATTTACCACAGTGAACGAGAATTAGAGCTAGGTGGTTTCGAGGCGATAGATGGCACGAGTGATGAGCTGCATAACAGACCAAGCCACTTGAAGCAATCCTTTTGATATCGCATTCCCTTTGCTTTTGTCGTGGATCTGCCTTGCCGTTAGGGTAGGGAAGTCGATACACCCTTCACGCATCAGTTTGAGAATGTCATCAGGTCGTAGTGTAAGGTAGAGTCTGCCGTCCACATAAAGCATCAAACCACCCATGAGCACAAAGAAGCTGTGCGTTTGAGTCTGCGTGTAATCTAAGAATGCACATGAGTCAACGTTCAGGCGAGCATGAATCCGCGCGATGCCGGGTGACCTTGAAGGGTCTTTCCAACAAACTTCAAATCTCAAGCTTCCAACGGGAATAAACTCAAACTTTGCCTTTTAGGACACTCATATTCGCTGACATAATCTTACCGCGCGGCATTTGTCCAGCGCCGTTCTACTACTCACGCACTTCACGAATCCCTTGTGCACTTTCGCATAATTACCTTGTGTGTACAGGCACTGGCTTGGACGCCTTTTGATCTGAGCCGAATCTCTGAGCCTGACGCTAGCGCTCGCCAAGGGACAGGCTGACAGCAGTGCCTTCTTCGATGTTTCGTCATCAACACCCGACGGACAACTGGCATCCAATGCGAAAGTTCTATGAAGAATGTTTCCAACCCTACCTTCTGCATCTGTACCATGCCGTTGGACAGTAACCATGTCATGGCCCTTCGCATTGCCGTAAAGGTCCAGAATAACGACAGCGGACAGCTGTCGGACTCCAGTCTCCTGCCATATACAGACGCTTTCGAGGAGTACAAGGTGATTGGTTGATTTAGGTTCTTTCTCTCTGCGATATTATATTTCGTTGAGGATCTATACTCATAACTGAAGTATACTACGTGGCAACCACGTCGCGGGATCGCAGACATCTGCACGTTTATTGATCCTATTGTCCACACTCTTCGTCAATGACTTCCATCTCTATCTCATTTTGCAGCGGTTGATACTGATATATGATATCATCATGATGTTTCGTTGACTTAGGGTTTGGTTCCTTGTATAGAATATTTGGGTAACTCACGGTAGTCCTATGGGAAGTCATCTGGTGTATCACATCAAGTAGAAATAGTAACCTTGCAGGGCAGATCACATTGTTAGAGCAGTGCGATCATCGAGTATCTGCACGGCCAAACAGATGCGCCACTGACAAAAGTTTGATGACATCAACGACAACTGAACGTATTCTTTCCTCCGGTACGTTGATAGTGTTATTAATATTGTTGTATCCTTCGCCACAGGTGCCCGCAATTCCTAATGATGATGGCAGTAGACAGCATATTGAACACAATCGCCGCCGACTTGTAGTAATTCCCAGCCTTCCCAAGCAAGCAGCTCTGCGTGACTTACATACATGTTGCGCAGCGTTTTCGGGGATCAGCGATCAACTGTTAGACTAAGGTACTACTGACAACCAGACATGTGGGCTTCAGCCCACTTCGGCGGTTTCATGTCCGGGTGATTAATTTTATGTATGTACCCGATGACCGAGCACCAACATACTATGCACACCTCTATAAATTATTTCTTGCACAGAGCAATGTCCGTGTAACAGATATCGCGGAGTCTGAAATGATGATGGCGCCGGCGGGTGATACTTTGTGACATCCTGTGACATCCTTCGGAGCGGAATTTGTAAGCTCCTCACACATACACTTAGCGGCGGCCAGTAGTCGGCGGTGTGATAATGGGCCCAATTCAATTTTCTTGTCCCGGAACCACATACAAAAACAGTACATGTGATTCTGCCAGCTCATACTATAAAGTTGGCTACACCTTTCAGATCAAACGCACAGTCTAACAATGGATTTACCACCTGGGATCGTCTACCTCATCAGTTGCCTGCCACAGCTCCTATTGCCCCCAACGATAGTTTATGGCCTCAACCGCATCTGCGATTTTGCATTTGGCGTATCCTTGCAAGGATGGTCGCAGATTCCTGCATATGTGTTATCTTTTCCTGCTCTGTTTACTTGCAGTGTGCTCGCAGCAAATTACCATGATAGGCGCCAGGCTGCCATGCATGGTGCTGTCCTTCCACCCATGTTTCCAAGTAGATTGCCTGGCAGTCTGGATCTCCTCGCAGCCTTGGTACAAAATTTCAAGATTGGATACATGGGTATGCTACTCGACAACTCACTTCACTTTCTCCTATCAATACTTACGATCGCGATCGTAGGGGAACTAATGGAAAAGCAGTGTAACACTCTTGGGCATACATTCAACATGCGAGTCCTCTTTGAAAACAGGGCATGTACATTCTTTCGCATCCTCAGTCTCATTGTTGATATGTTGCGATCAACAGATCTTCACCGCCGAACCAGAATACATAAAGGTAAGGAGCTCATCGGAATGTTATAATTCCAGACATTCAAGCGTAACAGGCAATTCTAGCAACAAAGTTCACATCATTTGCGAAAGGTCGGCGATTTCATGTGCGGAGTATTGTCCCGATCTGATGGAATAACACTTTCTACTAACAGGGCCTATGTTTTCGGACCAAGTCAACTCTCTCCTTGGCACCGGAGTGTTCAATTCCGATGGTGAGTGTGTTTCCAGTATTTGACCGTGACAATATAGTTTACTATCTATTTCAGGGGATGTCTGGAAGTGTGCCTTATCCATTTCCGTTCATTGTTCGACAGGCTTAATCTAGTGACTACAGATTCCACCGCTCGATGACACGCCCGTTCTTCAGCAAAGACCGGGTCAGTCATTTCGATATATTTGACAAGCACGCGGAAGACGCGATCAGTCAGCTGAAGATTAGACTCAGAGATGGCTACCCCGTGGATTTCCAGGTAAACTTATGATGACTATTCCATACCTATTCTTGCTGACGTTGCTTTAGGACATGGTCTCTCGTTTCACCTTAGATTCTGCGACCGAGTTTCTCTTCGGACAAGATGTCTGTTCTCTCTCCGCTGGCCTGATCTACCCACCGTCGTCGCCACGTTCTAAAGACATCGCGTTTGAGAATCACCCAGCCAACAAGTTTGCGCATGCATTCAGTGAGGCTCAGATTGCTGCTGCCTATCGCGGCCGATTTGGCTCAGCGTGGCGCCTGTCTGAATTCTGGACTGATCGCGTTAAGAAGCACATGGATGTTTGTTACAAGTTCATCGACCCGATACTCAAGGAAGCATTAGAAAAGAACAAAATGCTCAAGGAGAACATGGACGAGAAGACCGATGCAAAGGATAGGGATGTCGAAGAAGGCGAAACGCTGCTTGATCACTTGGTGAATTACACAGAAGGTATGCAGCGCAAGCGTTGACGCGTCGTCCCAAATGACTTGAATTTGTTTCCTTCTAGACCCCATCGTCATCAGGGACGAAATTCTTAACATCATGATTGCTGGACGTGACACTGTATGTACTTCTTTCGGACGGTCTTTCTCAGGATGCTAAGACTGCTCTTTCCAGACTGCAGCTACCTTGACTTTTGTTATCTACATGCTCACACAGCATCCTGATGTTCTCCATCGTCTTCGCGAAGAGATCCTTAGCAAGGTGGGTAGCTCAAGGAGACCAACCTATGATGATATGCGCGATATGAAATACATGAGAGCAGTTATTAATGGTGAGTCGCACTCAAAAAGCCACTTTCTCTTGAGGTGACACGGGAATTTCAGAAACGCTTCGACTCTACCCGCCTGTGTGAGTATTAGGTCCACTCCCTTGAACTTTTTGTACTTGATCTCATCGAATTTCTCTAATTCTATTAGGCCATTCAATGTCAGGTAAACGCTACTTTGTCCATGCGCATGTATTTGTGCTCATCATGGATCAGGACCAGTACAGAACCAGCGGTCTGGCCGGGAATCGATGGGGGGAAACCGATCTACATCCCTCCAAATACTAGGTGATTACATCAAGAAACGGATTTGTTTGTTCAACTGATGATGGATGTATCAGGACACCTTACTCTGTATTCTTGATGCACCGGCGAACAGATTTGTGGGGACCAGATGGTGAGCACGACAATAGATTGACTTTTTCGTTGGAATGAATGTTTACTGACATTCTTCTCCACCAGCTCAAGAATTCGACCCAGATCGGTTCCTTGACGATCGTCTCCGGAAATATTGTACCCCTAACCCATTCATCTTCGTGCCTTTCAATGCAGGTCCCAGGATTTGTCTCGGGCAACAGGTCTGCTGACCGCACTCACACAGTATTCACGCTGACGTCTATGTTACTCTAGTTCGCCTATAACGAGACTTCTTTCTTCCTCGTCCGACTTCTCCAGCAGTTCTCTTCAATCTCCTTGGCCACCGACGTCCAGACTCTTCCGCCTGCAGAGTGGGCGGAGTGTTCTGGCCGCAAAGCCATCGAAAAGGTCATCATCAAAAGCCATCTTACCATCTATGCACATGTAAGCTCTTCCTTAACTTTGATCCTTTGTCTAGTGGCTCATGTCATGTATAGAACGGGATATGGGTTAGGATGGAGGAGGCTAGCCCTGTTGAGGTTGTGTAGATATAACGGACGAGCATCACGACGACAAAATCATTTATATTATCTGTACTGTACTGTGTCGATGGCATGGTACTTCCTGCTGGAACAACTTGAATCTACTCTTTGTCGCTATATACGGATTTACTTTTCTTTCAGCGCCATTCTTACGACTACAGCTGTTTAATCTTTTCCTCCTGGACAAAGAAAGTCCCAGGGATTATTAACAAAGTGGGTCGGAGTGGGTCCGATCCTTTGGGCGAATAACCAAGCTTGAGCCGAGCAGACCAAACCTCATATATCATAGTACAGGCATTAATGTATTGCCGTTACATTTTTGCATTGGTCTGTCTAAATTTTTATGCAAAGGACTGTGAGCATCCACCACCAACTTTGATGTGCTGGCACATGCCATCGTCAGTCTCCACCTATACTATATTATATTGTACTTGTCTGCACTGTGGATAGTGATTCCAATGAAAATCATTGGAAAAAGTCCTGATGCTGAAATTTTCATTGGAACTTCTACTGAAATGGCGGGTAGTTAACTTCATTGGAGTGCTGAATCCAATTCAGCACCAAATTTCAGCACCGTTTTCCAATAGTATTACTCACGATAGGTTTTGAACACTTCAGAAAACTCGCTAAAGCTTGAAAACAAGCACAGCCGCATGCGGCAAATTTGGAAGTCAGGCTCGGCACCATGGCTGAGTTCGAAATATGCCTGCTGTTCGCCAACAACGCCTCCGTCGTTCTGCACGACTTGGAGGCAACCCTCCAGTGCGCTCTAGAGCGATGGATCCTGAGCCGTCGACATCTCAAATACAACCACCTCCCCCCGATCCAAAACCCAAGCTGACGATTCAGTGGCAGAGTGATGACACTCTCACTGACGTCTTGGTCACCTGGCTCACCGAACACCCTCCCGACTGTCGTATCTTATTCTACTCTGATGGCAAGAAACCACCTCCCTCTCTGGATTCAAGTTCTTCTGCTCGTCCCTCGGGAAAGGACAAGTCTCAGATCTACTCTGTTATTGCTCAGGTCATCTTCGAACGTCACGCAAAATATGGGCTGGAATATGCAAACAGTCAGAAGAAATTTCGTGACTCTGTCAACAACCGTATCACAAGGTATGTCATGTTTATATTTTTTGTACTATGCGCTGATAAGATCCTTAGTCTCAAAAACAAATATAAGCCCCTTAAGGCTAAATTCAGTGCAACCGGTGCTGGTGTAGTCCCTCTTGATGACGCCTCCGCTAAAAATCTACAAGGTGAGCATTCTTATTTATTTGTTTAGCGGTTTGACCGATTCAAATTTGTAGAAGAAGTCTGTCGCGAATTTCCATGGTACAAGGAACTCGACGCCATCTGGCACTCAAATCCCTCCTTTGCAGCAAAAACTACATCGTCCAAGCCTGGCGTTGACCATGCTGGTGACATGTACGCGCTAGTACGTCCGTGTGGCAGGGCTGGCCCCTCCGCACATACCAGGGGTGCTACCAGGGCTCAGCCCCCCTCTCATGTTCCGCCTCCTCATAGCCACCCATTTACTGATTCACAAATTGATCCTCGTCTGCTAGCACCTGCTGCTCCTGCTGCTCTCGTTCCTTCGCCTGCTCCCACTGCTCCCATTCCTTCGCCTGCTCCCACTGCTCCCATTCCTTCACCTGCTCCCTTTCCTTCTGCTCCTCCCACTGCTCCCACTCCTGCTTTTCCTCATTTCCCTGCTCTTCCTATTCCTCCTGCTCCTCCTGCTCCTCCGGCACCTCCAAATGCCGACTTCGATACCACTATGGGCAATGTTCCTGATCTTGACGACGACAACAACTTATATTCCGCTGCTTTCCGTGCCCCTCTGGGCAATGCACTAGACCACTTGGATGATGACGATATGGACACTGATGCCCCGCACCCTACTTATGACCTTAACAGCCCTCCAAAGGTTGCTGGGAAAAAACGACAACTCCCATCATCGCCGTCTCCTCCTCCTAACCACCCCATCCCTTTTTCAATCATGCAGAAGTCACCCACTCCTTTCTACAACAGCCGTGCAGCATTCGGCGCTCAGGGGCCCTCTGGCTACGACGCACGACGCAGACCGTCGTCTATTGCATTGTCGTCGCCAGGGATGACTCATAGCTCGTCGACACCTTCATCGACGACTCACAACACTTCATCGTCAGATTTTCCTGCGTCTCCGACCCTCCAGACCTCAATATCAGCGCAACCGAAGACCACAGGGTCGAAGAAGAAGAAAGCAAAGTCCGACATTCAGGAGCAGGTTGAGAGGGTCAATGGTGAGATTGGGAGTATTCAATCGGATGTCACATCACGCCATAACCTCAAGCACGAGCGCTTCCTCGCGAAGCTTGATGTGAAGAAGGACTACCATCGCGAGACGAAGAAGTACGAGTATCTTCGCGAGGCACGCGCACATGAGGCCATGCAAGCTGCCGCCAGCCATCAACGAGAGCAGGAGACCAAGGACGCGGAAATCCGCCTTCGTGAGACAGATGTCCGAGTGCACGAGGCCCAGGCCCTTGCACTTGACAAGGAGGCAGAGATGTGGCGCCTGAAGATTCAATTTCACCAGATGACACAGAGCGGTAGTACCGCTTCTGCGTCTGATAGCTGACATGTTTGCTGCTGTTGTTCCCCTTCCTATCATACTGTCCACTAGCGGCTTATTTTTGTATCATCATTGCTGCTTTCTGCTGTCGCGTTTTTTTGCTGCTGTTGCTATCTGACTTATGAATTTATTTTGTAGTCTGTTGTTACTTGTTAGATTGATGTTGTACAAGCTGTAATACTAGTAGTACATGTACTATTGGTGAATGTGAACATGGTGCTTTTTTTTTCTGCTGGTACTTGTAAGATTGATGTTACATGTGTTGTACAAGATGTACTACTAGTAGTACATGTATCATTGGTGAATGTGAACATGATGCTTATCCTTCCCTATGCTGTGCTTTTGATCTAGGGCTATCAAAGAGCTGATCCATGAGCCTTGCACGAGTAGCCTGGCCAGGGGTTCCTTCATATGACCTGTCACCCACTGTTTCATTACCCTCTGGATCCTCAATCTCTTGAGGGACAAAAGCTTCACCCTCGGTACGAGCCCACTCCAGAGACTGATCATAGTCTTTATCCTGCTTGCGACGACGAGTTTCAAAGCAGATGATCATGTTGTGCAGGATAAGACAACACTTAATCCAATGCACAGCAACCTGCAAGTCCTTCTCTGTCTGAATATTGATGCGGAGCTCTCTGAGAGACTGGAACCGCCCTTTCAAGACTGCAAATGTATGCTCAACACGCACACGGATCTTTAAATTCATTAATAATAATAAAAAAGCAGAAAATAAAAATACCTTAGAAAGGTGGTAATTAAATGTCCTCTGGTCCTTTGTCAGTCGTCCATTGCGAGGCTTCTTGAAAGGGGGGATACACCATGGCTCCAATGGGTATGCACTGTCTGCCCAAACCCAGTGATCATCTGGGAGAAGATTGGCATGCTCTTCATAGAGGCGAGTGGATCGAAAAGCATATGCATCATGGACACTCCCAGGTTGACCAAGAGAATAATCTACAATCATGAGGTTATGGGGCATGATAACCGCTGTAGAGACTCGTGCGTCTCAATGACGAATATCCGGCCTTTAACCATACATTCCTATACATTACAGCTCTACTCCTAAGGACCAGTCTCGCGCGCACTCGCGCGCGCCTTATCCGAACTCGCGCGCACTTACGCGCGCCTTACCTACGCACGCGCTATGCGCGCTTCGCGCGCCTCCTCATAGGTCTTCGCGCTATCGTCCGTCCATCCGTCCCATGTCCTTACTGATTCGCTGGTGCGTTATTTCTATCTTATCCATTGAACTAATAAAATCTTCGGTCCGACATCCGCGCTACTTATGGAAAGTTTATTTAAACTTAGTTATAATTAGAGTTGATATGGTTACTCGGTTCGGGAGCGCGCTCGGAAGCGCGCCTTCTCCATTCTTAAATACAGAAGGGTTTCCTTTAGTTCTGGTACTTACTTTTCCCTTATCTTTGTGTACTGGAAAGTGAATAGATCACCTCCCCACTTGTTATCTGATCATATCCTCCTGTCAATCCTCCACCTTTGCACTCACTCCTCAGTAAGATCTTGCCTCTAACGCTTTAGGCGCGCCTTCGCTTCGCGCGCGCGCATTCTCGGACCTCCCGCTCACGCGCGCATCTCGCGCGCCTTCGCCTCGCGCACGCGCGCCTTCGCGCGCGTTATCTTCTCGCGCCTATTAGCGCCCGCCTAGCTCACAGAGTTTCCCTCCACTTTATTTCGAGGAACTTCTCTCAGTGGTTGTCCTTTGGGTCGAGTCGTTGTCTCGTATCCCGGTCTTGCTGTTGAGCACCCCTTTTGTTTTAAGTGTTTTCACGTATAGTCAAGATTCCTCATCTACACCGCCTAAAATTAAATTAAATTGTTGCCCATGAAAAATAAATAAAAATACATTACTTGACAGCCAAGGGAATACTTAGATTTCCTATCATAAAATGTCTCACCAAAATAAGCAGGTTTGGTGAAAAGATCTATAGTTGAGCCATCAATGGCTAGATAGCCACCCCTCCACTCTGGACAGGTTCGTGTCTCAGCAAAGCGCCGAGCCAGCTCAGTATCCTCAGAGTTATCTTCTGGGAAGAAGATAAACTGATCGTGCTCCTCAAGCAATGCAACCATCACACGATTAGTGCAGTTGACAACCGACCCAACACTCACACCCGCCCATTGTGTGACATCCTCGAGTGAAATGGCATTGCCGTAGTGGCCTGCACGATTTAGAAAAATAGCAAGCTGAATGGAGACAGGGAGCTGAGGATTGTTGGACTGGTTACGGAAGATAGGATGACCGGAGATCTGGTCGAGGATATCGTCAAATATTTCTGGATTGACGCGCAGTTTCTGGCGAAACAAATGAGGCCGGTGTTCCTCATGGTGAACCAGCATATGCAGCTGAGGTGCCCGAGGAGGAGGCTCATCAGGCTTGTGGAATACACGTGCCCTCTCTACCTCGTCACGAAGAGCAGCAATTGTGTGCTGGAGCCGGTCGTAACGCACAGCAGCGTCATCTGAGTCGTCAGATTGGTCACTGTGGCTGGAAATATCTGAACTGAGGCCCGAAAGGTGGGACATAGGGGACATAGGGGACATGGGGGATATAGGGGATGGGGAGGCAAAAGCCAGATCTTCCTCATCCGAGGTATAAAGTGAGTTTAAGTCCGAGTCGGTATTAGAGTCTGAGTCAGAGTTGGAGCCCTGGTCATCCAGGAGTATATTCAAATACTGTGAGTTGGCTAATGCCAATGAAGCCTGATCAATGGCACGAAGGAGGTCTTCACATGTAGACTGAGGAGGCATGGTTGTGACTTGGAACGGGGTGTTTTCTTATCAGTACACTCGAGATCCATCATCCAACTGATTAGGTGGTGTTTAAATCGGAGTTTAAATTTTTACCACGATTAGCGCCAGATGTCATCGCTAGCATCTGCATCCTCCGTGCATTCCGTAGCTCGAATCTCACCATCCCCTTGCCCCTTCCAGCATGATCTTACAGGTGGATAATGGGGAGGTATGCAATGGCGCCGGATGGGAGGTTGAGGATGTAAATGTGAGTAATTTTTCTTCATTTGTGCTCCTGCCCTCTCTGATCTCATGCTACTGCTGTTGTGTCTCCCAGCCCACATGCCTGCACCTGCGCACTCATACGGCTGTTGTTGTATCTCCTGGCCGGGCCAGCCCCACACACCTGTGTCCATGTTCCCGCCCTTCACACTGCTGTTGTGTCCCTCGCTGTCACGTGTCCAGCGTTCGAATGCCAGATCAAACAGAATCCCCCAACATGTTCGTTATCTCCTAGCACATGCTCCCGCCCTCTTACACTGCTTGTGTCTCCCTCGCTGTCACACATTCAGCATTCGAACGCCGGATCAAACGGAATCCCCTAACTCTACCTCCCAGCTCATGCGCCCGCACTCTCACTCTCTCATACCTCCGTTCTGAATCTCGTGTTTCCCTCACTATCACACATTTCTTTTTTGTTATATCTCGTTTATTAGATACCTAGCTACATCTATATATTTTTGTGTAGTATACATGCCTTAAAATTTGACTAAGTGTTTCCAAGTCCGCTCTGATGCCGCGTGTGCCGTGTGTCTTGATGGCTTTCTGGCCGAGTTTGTTGAAGACTTTAGCGAGTTTTTTGAAGCTTTAGCGAGTTTTTTGAAGTGTTCAAAACTTATCGTGAGTAATACTAATGAATCCAATTCAGCACTATTTTCCAATGAATCCAATTCTCCAGCTTTGTCTGGCTTACAAAGAGTCGGAGGCACAACCTGATTGTGTTGGGCTGGTCTGAGCATTAGTGCGGGAGAGACACAAGCAGGCGGAGCCGCTGGGAGGGCGGGAAACCTGCTTATGAATTCGGTCCTGTGCTGACTCTTGTGCGGCATGAATCAAGATAAGCATCTTTATAAATTCTAATAATTACAATAACACCGAAATATGCTCAGGCTACAGTAATGGTACACAGAGCTAAACAAGAGGGAGTGGCAGGTGGGGGCAAGGAATAGGAAATAATGAACGAGAGTTTGAAGGATGCCTTGTCACTGGTAGGAGAAGGGTGGTATATATCATGGCTTGCAGTCAGACCTAGCAAGGATGCCATGGCTTAGTGGTAGTGATGCTATGTACGTTGGGCCTAAATGTACAAAGTCATCCGTTCCATTCCGGCCATTGGCAAATTCTAAAAGGCTTATATCATGACACCATATCTTATGTGATCAGTGTGACGTGTCACAGTAATTAGTAACATTTATTTTTGTCATTTTCGAGCAAATTATTTCAGAGTAAAAATTCAGCGCAAATGTCACTGAAATTTCAGAGTAAAAATCGGAACTTTCAGCACCTCGATTTCAGCACCTTGTACTATGAATTTCATTACATTATCACCTGATTTTACCTAATGAATTTCATTGGATTTACTACCCACAGTGTCTGTTTGATATGGTAGACCTTTGTGATCTATCTCGTCACCTTCGGGATCGGATAGATTGGCAGTGGTTGAACGTCTGAAGTTTAAATTCGGGCTAATATTAATAAAATATTGTAATATAAATCTTTCAGTTTCGCTTTACGCTGTTCTACAGACTCCCAGTCTACAGTGCCAGTTCACCACGTCATGGGTTTGCATTGTGTCTATGTCCCCATGACGCCCATCCTTGACCCGGATAACGACTCGACGTCTCTAGACGGCGATGACTACGACTCCCCTTTAACGGACCTGGAAGACAGTACTGGGAGTAGCGGGTATAGCAGCCTGGAGGAGACATTCAGCGAATCAAGCGGTAGTGAATATGGCGGAAAGACACACAATAGTAATTGCAATTTGACGCGTAATTTGATGTTCAATGCTAACTTTTACTTTCAGAAAAACCACCCGCAAAAAAGCGCGCTAGGGTAGCTAACGTGAAAGCACTCAACACCGGTGTGATACTAGCAACAAATGGCTCTGGCAGAAAGAAGAAAACCCTTAGTCTCATCATCACTATGCCGATTGACATTCTTTTCGAGGTTAGTCAAGTTGATGAGCATGAACCTTATGTGTTATCTGACCTGCACTTTCCATCAGATTTTTGGCCTTTTGGGACCGGTAGATCTTTTGCATCTGTCACGCACGACCAAAGCTTTCCGGAAGGTTCTCTTATCTAATAATGCAGTCTCAGTCTGGAAAGCTGCCCGCGTCAATCGTGGCGGTGTTCCCAACTGCATGCCTGGCATGTCTGAGGTCGAATGGGCCAACCTGTTATTTGGTGGTTCTCAGTGTTATGTGTGTATACTTTCCGTTCTCGCATTTTTCACTTTCATGACAACTACCTTAGGTGTGTGGCACCAAGGGAATTATGAGGGTAGACTTCGGTATCAGACGCAGAGCATGTACCTCGTGCCTCAAGAAAAAGTGAGCATTACTTTATGACTATGCCCCCATGTACCCAACGATTCGTCAAGCCTGGTTTATAAGCCCAACTTTTCATCAACATTTCCGAGCCTCGATCCGATCATCATGGATTTAACACCGTTCACTAACAGTGGGTAAACTCCTACTATGACTTGTTAGTATCTGATCATCCTGAGTAGTCGGTGGATGGGCTCATGGTCATGCCAGTGGCAGCAAGTTTTTTTGGTCGGACGACATACTGAAAGTAGCAGCTCAGTTAGGGATGTACCAGAAGGATGTGCACATGTTCAAACTAGGTGCCAAGAAAAGGCTGGAAGACTTCAAGCAATCTCGCAAGAGATATGTTGATTCTGTTTTCAATGTAAGATTTCTGCAAATGGTTTTCTTAGATCTGACACCCTCGAAGCATGTTGCGATCTGTGATGCTTGGGTCAATAGGGACCGCAAACATCGTCAATCGACGGCCACTGAGCTTCGCAGCCAAAATAAAGAGTTGTGAGTATATTTCATTACCTCGTCATCTCATCACGTTTTTATGTCCTCCCAGGATTAAAACTAGATTAATTCGCCTGGGCCACGATACCAACGATGTGGCGCGCATGTTCAATAATCGTGATTATGCCATTGATAAGGAACTTACCGATGCACGTCAGTGCTTCTACCATCATTGCAATGAATTATCCCCTTACTGCGTCAGTTTTCAGGGTGGAAACGTTTACTCCCAAGAATCGAGCACAATCTTTCTGAATTGAAGGAACAGTGGCGTCTTCAGGACCAAAGAGATGCATCGCGTCTCCGAAAGACGCATCTGCAGAATATGTATGACAACTACGTGCGGCAGTTGCGAAGGGGACCCGCGCCCCCTTTTGAATCCTTTTTGGAGCGCCGTGATGTCGTGGACTTTATCAACAGTCCGCCTGCTATGGAACCAGAGAGCGATATCAGTGCTTGTCCTGCTTTTGCCGACAAATTCCCCGAATTTTGCACTGGGTATGTCCATCAAACGAAGCTGGCACTTATCCAGAGCCTTGGCTCTTATTCCGGTATATCGCAAGATACCCTGGCGCTACAAAATCAGGGTATCAACGACCCTGAAGAAATCTTACTGCAACTAGCCACTTCTATTTTCCAATGCGCCTCCTCGCGCTCTTTGCCTCTGATCACATGGGAGAAAGTTCAGTATCATAAATGCCACACGTATCGCTTATGGCCGACGACGAAAGTAACTTGCACATTTTCGATCTCTCAATCTGGGATTCTTGCCGCTCGTTCTTTGTTACGTTTAGTTGGCCTTGATGTCAAAACTACGGCTGCAACTACCATGGATCAACTCCAGCATCTCTTTTTTTGCTCCAACTGTCCACCTAAGCAAGAAAACGGGGGACTTTACCGAATGGCGATGGACTGGCGTCGGAGTGTTCGTTCCTGTGTCTGTCTTTTGACAACTTGCTCAATTATGTTGCATTCTAGGTCATCCATTGCGTCGAGCAATCGCACAGAGAACCTCGCTGGGAGCTCTTGAGTGCTGAGCAACTTCGAGTGATCCGAGGCCCACATGCTCCTGAATATCCTAAAGCTACTGATCCAGTGTGGTACTGTAACCAGTGTGATAGGCATAACGGAAAACCAGTTAACAAGGCTACTGTCATTGATCATATACGATGGTATACCATCACCTTTTCTGTTACACTCACTTTACTGACACCTGGTAGGCATGGAACTGCCGTTCCAAAACAAGGAGTCGACTTTATTTATGACATGGCCCCTGTCGAGCTACCGCCACCAGGAATGAAGTTCTTCATTTCCCCCCCTCAGCCGTCCCGGCCCTCGGCTAAACCCCAACCCTCGACTAAACCCCAACCCCCGAATAATGACTATCGCTGCATACACTGCAATCGCTCACAACGGAGGTTCATATTGGAAGGTGTCAAGCAGCACATCAAACACAAGTAAAAAGACATTCCATCCAGTCGTGCCCTACTCATTGAAATTTTCTTCAGGCACAAAATCGGCTCCCCAGTTGAAGAGACAGACTTCTGTAAAATCAAGTAATGACATCTCGTCGCACCGTGACCTCCTTCATCTTTCGCCTCATAAGCCCTTTAATACATCTCTCCAGCGGTCACGTACGCCGACTGATATTTGCCTCGCCAGCCCTAATGTCTATGTACTTACTCCTGACTTTTTGTCTACTGTCAAATGAATGAGACTCGTTGAATGCTAAAACGACAATCCATTAAGTACGTTGTATACGTAGATGACTACCGCCAGAACATGCCCACCAGCTCGCTAGTAGGATGTCTATCTCTAAGCAACACCATTCCCTGTCTTCTCATTCGGGTTCCATGGTCCTGCGTCGCTCAGCGAGCACCCGCCTGCACATCTGCACTTGCCACCCAGATCTGCAGGAAGATCCTCTGCACGGATGTCCTGTAATAACTTCTGTTGGTATGAACTCCCAAGAATCTCTATCTTCGATACAGTCACTTCATCCAGCCAAGGTTTGATCAACGACCATACGGCAGAGAAGCCCCACGGCGCATTGATGATGTAAAATTTGCCCATGCATTCCGGATATCGGTCCTGTCCGATCTTTGAAGCCTCGTTCACGTAGTCTCTGACTTGGTAAAAGGAAGAGAGGGAAACGCCTTTCAGATCAAGGATGGTGCAGACCGTCTCGACGGGGTGACCAACAGCTGCAGAGCATGCCGGGAGACGATCTGTGAGAAACCTCTCGTACTCGAGGATGAGACGCTGGAGCAACCGTTCCTTTGTCGTGATGCCGTAAAGTGCTGGGACATTGAGCTTGCCGAGCCGCTCGATGTATACCGGTCTGCCATCCTGCAAGACAGCGCTTAGCGAAAGAACGGATCTGAAGGATCGTGACGGCTACCTTGTCCATTTTATGGTAGTATTGAGGATAGTATTGATCGACCTGCTCTTTTTCGGTGAAGACAAAGCTCCTGCGGGCGAGATCAGATGAATCGGCACACGAGGTAAAGGCAAGCGACGAACTGCACGATGTCATCTACCTTCATATCCCGTCTCCACTGCTCAGCAGCTAGTAACATCGCTTTTGCCTTCGGAACATCAAATTTGCGCGCCCTTAGATATCTGCAGACTGGGTCAGTACACACGCCTTGTACGACCAATCGGACATGAACAGTGGGTCTACGACACAGAGTGCATCTACAGACTCCCAGATCGAGGAGTGGAACATACCGTAGCAGCATCGGATCGTCCATTCTCTCCTCAACGAAATGGCCTTCGTCGTGGAGCTGATTCTTCAAGGTCTGAAGGGCATGTTGTTGCGGGACGGTGAGGTTTCCAACCCGCCCTGGCATGGGACGGAAGTTAGGATCAGTTATGCCGTCTGGCATCGGACTGGCGCTGGCTTGTTCAAGTGTGGACATTGTCAAGGGTGAAGCTTAAGTGCAGGCGTTGAAAGTTAAAAATCGGGATCACAGTACAGCAACAGCCTCCACTATTTGGTATCTGTGTTCCAATTACACATTCTACGGCTTCGATGACATACAAGGAACAAAAGGCAGAATACCATAAATCTAGCAAGAATCGCATCATTATTTCCAGAGCCCAGAAACACGAGTTGAGTCGTGTTCTAATGCGAGGGGGCTTGGGTAATCCATCTACTAGTAGTACACGATGCGGCTCAGCGGATAAATTTACGGAGCAACGCAGGTTGAAATGCTACTTGTGTGTGAGGAATGCAATAGAAGGTAGTATGCAAAAAAAAAAAAGAGTGAAATGCTTTCTAAACCTGAAAGCCAATATGATACAACAGATCGATGATTTTTCAGATTTTAGTATAGGAGATGAGGACATCAGACGATGTCCCAGAGCTCTTCTAGACCACAACATAACTACCAAGAAATGAGAATCCAATCCAAGGTATCGGCGCAAGCACTCACTTTGCCGCAAGCGACGGACGCGGATAGAGGATAGTCACTGATACTGATCTTGTGGTCTACAACATGATCGGCAAAGTCATCGCGGCCCCGAGCCATTGCGCCCACAAAGACAGCAATTGAGTGCGTTTCCGGAAGAGTCGGAAGATAACGGGAGAGTCTGACAGTGGGAGCATCACCGGAAAGGGCTAAATATGGGATCAGGGATGAGAGAGCATCTACGCGAAGTATGAGTTGACTGACTGAGTTTAATGGTATTGACAGGAAGGTGGTCGGACACGGGGTTCTGAAACACAAGGTCAAGCAATGATTGCAGGTCGAAGAGAATTCAGAACATACCTTGATTACCTTGAGCAGCTTTTCTGGGCCATTGACACCGCGAATAGACAACTTGTGAAGAAGTTGAACTTGAAAAAAAAAATGAGTGATGAAAACAAGATCAACAACCGTAAATTACCCATTAATCCGCTGAATCGTTTGAAGGTACGAGGAATCCTTACATGAGGATTAACCTCAATGAGCACCCCTTTTGTAGTGTGGATGTACACCTGCAGCAGACCCGCCTTGTTTAGAGGCGAATCCAAAAGCGTCAATAGGCACTGAAGGAGAAGAAAAAACTTAGTATCAAGGAATCCCATCTTTTCGATACCACGCACCTGATGGGTAATATCGGGACGGGCATCCGCAATATCTCTGCCAGTTTTTGCGAGGATGCCCTGATGATCGTCGCAGTTGAGAAGAGTGTACTTGACATCACCCTCCCTGCCGCCTTTGCCTTTTCCTCCACTTGAAACTCTGTATGCCTCCAAGCAAGCTTGCTCTAGGATGACAAACAACCTTCTCTGAGTCGATGCAACACCGCCACGGGGTACGTGCGCCTGAACTGGTAGCATGGATGGGTTTGCAGGTTGTGGCATAGGATTGGATGAATTTCCAGCCATTTTCCGGGATTTAGCGGGTAGAGGACGAGTGGGACGCTCTGGGCTAGAATTTTCTGAATTGAGCGTGATAGATTCACGTTTTTGAGATTCTTGAGAGTGTGATGGAGATGATGAAGATTGTTGAGTTTGTTGACTAGGCGAATCGTTATCAACCTGCATGGTGGATGTCTCCTTATCGGAGCCTTCCGAATCAGACTCGGCTGAACCGGACCCGCGTCGTCGCTGGGGCCGTTCGTCAATGGGAGTAGATTTTGGTCGTGGTGGGGGCACAATCATAGTTTCATCATCTCGTCGTGCATTGAGTAGACTAGCACGGACTGGTGCTGGTGTCGTAGTCGATCCAGAGTGGCGACGACGACGAACAGGGAGTTCTGGGATGGCGGACATAATTCGATGTGGGAGGAGAAGGTGGATGTAACTGCAGATGAACCCCGGATATAAGATCCCCAAGTACTTATTCAATTTTGGTTAGAGCACTTAGTATCCGCACTTAAGTTTGGGACAGGTATTAGGCAAGTGAAAATTTTCACAAGGTGCTATGTAACAACATCCAGATCTCACACAATCAGACACAAATATAATATATTTGTTCGCACAAGAACTGTTCAAGCTTGTTAGGTCTCAAAAGAAGATTTTGATGAGTTGGAAAGAGTGGGAAACAACTTGCGCTATTAAGCCATTCTCTCAATCAACCAACCATCAACTGCCATCTCAGAAAGTGAGCGCATTCTAGATAAGACAAGTCACCTGTGCTGCGGAAATGGTAAGTTTCAAGTAGCCCCCAGGCTTGTGGCAATCTTACCAATTACGAAGTCATGCATGCCCGACTGCACGCATGATGTATGATCATCGTGGAGTCTCGTGGGCCACAGATCAAAGTAGATCGTCCCTTCACAACATCTATAATTGTTTACGGAGAGGGCACGACAACCTTCGTAGCTGAATAGAATCGAGATTATTGGTACGATCATCAGTACGGGGACATGACAAGTCAATCAGCATGTGTCTCATTAGAGCTCTATGATCTACAAGAATGCGTATTACATACTGAATGTATTCCCATTGTGTTTTTTGCTCAAGCTCGCTTGAACTAATATTACCCATGCGAACTACTTCCATGCCTTCGGGAATTCTTTCGGAAGCGGAACATAGAAATGGAAGAATGGAGCGCTCCTGTAATCCTTCGGAAAAATGAGAGGTAAACCTTGAGGGCATCCCGGCGTATGCGGATACCTGTATGAGGCTACTGGGTGTTCATCAATTTGGCATCAATCCGACAAGATCGATGGTAAACTCACGTGCTCACAAATATCACCAGTGCCTTGCTAGGTCAGTTTTGTAATTTGAAGCGGGGCATGCCCCTAAGACGAACATCGCTTGTGCCTAAAATGCCTACGAGGGCGCTATCAACATCCGTTGGAACATCAGCCGAACCGTGTATCTGATGAAGGAAATGCGGAAAGATATGCGATAGCTCATTTAACCGTTCGCCTAGTAGATATGGAAGACGGCGATGGACCACCACCGACTGGAATAGAAACCATGAAAAGACGCGTGAAGTGTCATCCCACTGCGATATTCGAAGTTTAGAACGTTTGTGATAGTCGATAATCTTGCCGACTGGACGAGTGATAACACGGGAATCGAAGTCGGAGACACTTTACCACTTCAAAGTCAAGTATCCGAGGGTCTCAAGGTCAGACGACGCCCGCGAGGAACACCAAGGTCGATTGTGCGGATGGGGGAGAGCATTTATTGTGGGGTTTGATGAAGCTTAAGTATCCTAGTCTCACGTATGAAGTGCAACCAGGCCCCATTCCTTGACTTTGTACCCACAGTGTGAAAATGTCGTCGTTGCAGAGGTCCTAGAGGAGTTCCAGAGAATAGCATGATTTCCCAGACTAAACACCATTGACAGAACCAATGTAGCCGAACACCAATCGTGACACGGAATGAACAACCCATGATTTGAATAAATTGCATTTGAGGAGCTATCGACAGTGCTTTACGTCACAAGCGATGACACGAATGAACAATCTTGAGACGGTAGCAGTCTGTGGCAGAATTAAGTTAGTGTTATCCTTCACCTGACATCTATAATGACAATAAGGGTTTCAGGCCCTTACCTCACTCTTTGAGTGCTTGAGGTCTGCTGAGCATCGGCTTTTTCGCTCTATGCTGACCTATTTAGTGTCAGACGTCAGGGTCCTGAAGGTGCGAAAACGGGTCGACTGCGTCAAATCAAGACCATGATATGGTATTTCGGCTTAGTCTCCCAAATTTCCAATGTGAAGGAAGGTAATTAAGGATTACGATAGATTCGAGCGCTGAGTGCTGAAGACCAGCATTCAGAACAGGTGCATTCGCTCATCTTCAAAGAGCAAGGGAAGATGCAAAGCGGACTTGGTAAAAAGCCTATCATTAATATTGCCGGAGGTCAAGTATAGTTGTGGTCCTAGCGGAGTTCGAAACTCAAGCAGCTCGCACGGTCCGGATATCTTCTCCCTCCCTTCTACATCATGAGCTCACCTTTGGTAGTTTATCAGTAAATGAGTACACTGATTCTTGTATATTTCTGCAGCTTGTCATCTTTGAACTGCAGGTCCCACAAAATATTGGAGTCCCAATATTGGCTTACACTGCCTTCGCCTTGCGAATTTTGTTGTTCGTTGGCACGCCCGAAAATTTCTGGTAAGCAAATAATGTCTTCAAAGTGTGTGTTCACAGCCTTTTTTCAGCTCTCATACAGGTCGAAAACACAGCGATTATATAGACCGTCATACTCTTGCTGATTTCTGATGTGCTGTGAGAATCATAACTTATCTGCATGACATGTGTCAGTGTGCCCAGAATTTATAGTGAGCACAAATTTTCGAATATCCGTGATAATGTGGTATTTCCATCCAGATTCCTGAGAATAATTATTTAGATGACTTGTAAGTCAGTTCTGATGTGCTGCAAGGCTTGTGTAACTCGGTGTTGTCTTGACTGTGTCTGTGCATCCGAGACAGGCGCAAACTGCTGTGTAAATCAGTCTTCATGTCCTACTGGTTACCTTACCGGAGACTCGAGATCTTCCTCACAACAATTGCTTCGCACTGTTGGGTGAATTATAGACGTCTTGCGGTTGCCAGTTTTATCTTTATTTTTCACACAGGATTGCGCAGTAAGTATGTCTTATTATTTCTATGTTACTTGACATTTGTCTTGCTGTACACGACAGATGTTCATTGCTGAGGTTAGTACATAGAAGTGAGTGTCTGCATGTGAAATTCTGTAATATGGACACTGCCTAGAAGAAAGTTTGAGTTTCTGAGCTCGAGTTGGTAAGGGCTTTATCAATGACTATTTGCTTTGCAAAACTTCGAGCCATGGCATCCGAGGCTCATATATTCATAGGTTTGTCCCCCCTCGGTTTGATTCATTTAATCTCATTATTCGTTCAAATCATAATACAATTATAAGTCCGTCGCAGGAGAGCCAAAATCAATGCACGTGATCTGTCGCGTCAATATAAGTAAATAAGCTCTAGCCTATTCTGCGATTGAGCTCAAACCAACCACATTTACGATTACACACGAACTATATAACCCACAGCTAATATGAAACCACCCTCTTTATTGGACAACAACAAACTAGTCACTGCATATAGTCATGCCCTGAAAGCAATCACTACGTTGCTCACACGGGCGGGCGTCTTCCTTATTTCTCTTGGTATCGACGGTCATATCGTCTCGAGAGGCATCGCCAGTCTTGCTGACTCGTTGAAGGAATTGCAAGATATAGTCATAATGATAGAGGAGTGGGTTGACCACGCGATCAGTAGCCAGGTCAGTATTGCCTTCAGTGATTACAGGCGATATCGCTGATATCGATATAGAATTCAGAGAATAACGCTCAGGCAGATCCGGTAGAAAGCGAGAGAAAAGAAGAGGATATAATGGCTTTATCCTGCACCCCGCCACGCAGCACTCACATGAATCAATCTACATGTCTGCGACCTAATCCCACCACGCCCAGCCCCGTAGCCCCTTACGGAGTGTCTATACCGTGGTCGGCATTCCCGCAATCTTCGCCTCAACCCACATCGCTGTTTCGTCGTGGCATTCAACATACTCCTCTATCCATTCAGAACGCACCCGCTTTCTTCAATCACATGCGGGCAATACCTACACCCCAAACACCTGCTCGCACACTTGGATTCTTCGGGTCTCCCATGACTTCCAACGTAACGACACCACTTGTATACGGAAGGCATCTTTCTTCAATCGATACTCCTCGCCAAACCCCGCCATTGTTCTGGCGACCTGCACCGAAAACACGTGCGATCAAACTGGTGGTACCGGACAGTGCGAGACATAGAAAGAAGGCTGGTAAAGAGAACGAGGAAGAAGTAGCAGTTGCCTCTGCATCGAGCAAGTCAATACCATCACTCTTTGGGTAATCTTTTGTCTGTCCAACTGGGGTATGCAGGCACTCCTCTTATACGATATGTGACTAGCGTAGATTTATCAACGACTTGTACGTAGATTACTGGCCTAGTAACAAGATCATTGTTCTACAACCTCAACCATTCAGCACACTAAACAAGATACCCAGCCAGGAAGAACGCAGCTAACTGATGAGAAACATGAAGGATCAAGGACCTCAAGTTTCATGAAAGTCGTCTGAGAGTACCATGATTGACGTTACTTGTGACGATTCTTCATTCACAATATCTATATCCATGGTAGGTGATGATGAGACTAGCATGCACAGCGAACACACCTTCGCTCTCCAAAGTCACCCAGACCTGGAATAATGTAAGATTTTTCGTTGAGGCCCTGATCAATCCATCCGGTGATCTGGACAATATACTAAGTTGATCAAATTTCACTGGCAAATGTCTACTCACCACACGCAAAGATGGGAATCTACCACAGAATCTCTTCAAACCTTCTGGTGCCGCAATCTAGACGGCGATAAAATGTTTGCTTTCGGATGGAACTCGCAGTAAAACAGACCAAGTTAATGAATATGATTCGCTCTTCTGGAACGCCTTGTTCCTGCAAAACCTCAACTGCCTTCATAGCGGAGCCTCCAGTGGCTTTAAAGCGTTGATCAAAAATATGTGGGTCGCAAGAGAATATGGCATACCTAGCATCGGATCAAGGAGAAGTACGTATCGGGATGCGATGTCCTCAGGAAGCTGCAGTTCCAAAGCAATCAACGCAATGCTCGTCGCAGCGCACATTGTCTACCTTAGAATAAAAGAGCTTCGGAAGAGCAGTCTCCTCATCCTGGTTGCAAAGCCGTTATTTATGACCAGATGATGCAGATACATGATCATACTCGTTGAATCAGAATCTTCCCAATGCGCACGCTACGGCATACTTCTCGAAGGCCAGCTTCCATGGCCTATTACGTTCAGCATTACTAACTGTCAGGTCATGTGTTATTCGTACAATGATGACCAACAGACCTCGCCAGCACGCAGGATTGATACTCCACAAATCTTTCCCTCGAAGCCAATACCCTGGTATGTGGCGCCCTTCAGCAGAAACACATCAATATAGGGGGGAAATCATGCAGTTTCTTCCTCAACTCATGCGATCCAAAACGAATTGACATACCGTGGGAGTCTCCACTATCTTTGGGACCACAGGCAGATGATTTAAACTTTCTTCAACAAGTAAACGAATGATCCGGTCAGAGTAAAATAAGAAATCTCCTCGACTTGTGGTTCTGTCGCGGATGATAGTGTACAAGGCCTCGAGTTGCGCTGTTTGGGGAAGAGTAAACACTGATGGCGGTAGCGATGCTGGATGCGTTTGAGACGTCGGCGCCGTTGATGCTGCCATTGCTTAATTGCTTAATGCTGGAGCCTGGCACTGATGAAGAGCTTGACTCAGATCCGAACTCGACTCGTGTCTTGTCACGTGCACGCGATTCTCCGCCAAAGGCCCACAAGTTAAAACCCAGTTTCATGAACACTCGTCAGCCACTCCCATGTCAAAGAACGATACCGCTGAACTGGTACTTAACTGTAATGTTCTACGGATCAGTGCAGTGTTGCAGATTTGTTTTATTCGCAATATCCGACAACCGCTAGCGTTTCGAAACAACCATCACCTTCAATGACGTATACATGAAGCCTTCCGAGTCTTGCCTCGCGTACACTGTTGACTACTCTCGGTTCTTGCAACAAATGATGTCCAGTAAGTAGCTGTCAGCCTCGTGCGATTGCTTCGACGTCAGCCGCTGTCCTTGAGCCCTCCCAGTTCTCAAACTATTTGTGACCTTTCTTCTCTCTTCTCATGGCTCCTGCCATCAGGAATGTTCGCAACATACATTCCGCTCATCTCACCTCAGTCGCTCCTTCATCTACTTTTGCATCATTCTACCTCCCAGATGGGCTGCCGGGTTCTGGGATCCCGCAAGATGTTTACTTCAAAGGTGGCTCCTTCTGTTTCTCTGTAGTTGCGTTCTCTGCCATTGGATTTCTTTACCGTTCAAAGAATAAAGCCCGAATGTCGAGGTCTGGTTTTCGTGATCTCCTCCCTGCTGTCGACAATTCTGATGCTCCAGCCAGGCTTACTGCTGGACGACTCGCAACGGACATCTCCGCACCATATCTCGTGTCTTCTACCAATGCTGCTTTGGACCCTTGTTATTTCGGAAGCCATACTCCCCATCAACTTCATTCCTCAGTCGAAGTGTCCCCCATCGCATGTCATTCCAGGGTGGAGTTTTCGAATATTTGCAGCGACACAACCCACACAATGTTGATGGAAGATAGCCTGCAGTATCTTGATGTGGTATACCAACTTTTTTGGGCTGCTGAAATTATGATGACTCACTGCAATCACTCAGTCTACGCCTTCAATGGAACACAGCCAGTCGATTCCCGCCTTTCAAAGTGGAATTGGAGAGTTCCAGCATACCCCCGACATGGTGCTATTTTACGGGTCTGATTTTTCTGACCCTGAACATTATCCCTATATTCTCTCAATACCGACCATTCCGAGGATCGCATTCGAGGATCTTTCCGATGACAGTATCATGCTCGTCAACAAAACTTACAACTTCAAGATCACGTCTGTTGGTGCTTCTGTCCGTGAGGGAGATTTTTTGGAACTGCCCAATGGATACTGGCCACGCGCCTCGCCTTCTCGATCATCGCTTTCTCCTCAGGGTGCTCGCCGTTACAGTGTTCATGTCGTCGATATTGCCAAGTACACCGATGCGCTCTCTGCTCCTGTTTGTCGGCTACCTGCCTTCCAGGTGGCTCACGAAGATTCTCCGAAATACAGAAAGGAGAGCGAAGACGAGACTGAGAACCAGGCTTCGAGTATTCTTCTAGAGTTCATCGAAGATAGCAGTCGACTCCAGCATTCCGACCATACTTGTACAAGCAAGGAGAACAACAGCCATAACTCCGCACCAGGCACCACTTCACAGTTGGACACGATCCTTGTGAAATCAGCACCTGTTTGCCCATGCCTAGTACCCTCTGCTGTCGTTCACTTCCACAGTAAACACCATCGCTCCAGAGGAGCTTCCTATCAGGTCATCTCTGGAACACTGACAGAGCGCAGAGACCTTCCCGAGATCCAGTCATTTTCCAGGAGCCCAAAAGAGTCGCGCTGGACACCCGGGAATGGTATGATGGTCATCAAAGTTTACATCCCCTCTACCGATGACCTCTGGGCTGCGTACGTCCCCACCACTGTCACCCTCTTCACGTTCACGTGTAAATGGTCATTCAAGCTGAGCCTTCGCCTCCGGTTCAGCGGGAGTGCGATGGACACGCCGGACTATTACTTCGATAGTGATGAAGTATTTCAGCGCTGGGTAAAACACCGAGTCCGGCATGGTCGCAACCTTCCCATTGTCGGTCACTTGGACTACGCGGTCCCTCCGCCGCCACTTGTACTGAAGGAGGCTTAGGCCAAACTCTTTCCCTCTGGACATACAAGTCTCGTCGCTTATGTCGTATTGCCACTGCTCACGTATCTCCAACTCTGGTCGTTATCACTTCCTTCCCATGTTTTATACATTCAATGTTTTCGTTTTGTGGAATCTGCCTGTCCTCCCAATCGGTATGGTGAGGCAAAAAGGACGCGAGTTGACGCGAAGACCAATTCATCTTGCAGGGTTGTACCCCGCTGGTTGAAGTTGAAGACGGTGATCTAATGTGCATCTTTTCACTTGACGTTGTCGGATATGGTGCATGCGTCGCCTGACGCGGTAAATAAGACGTTGAAGCGGTTGGGGGTTGCTGGATGATTATACCGTCCTTCCTACATGGTCGTTTTCTAGGAAATTGACTCGGAGTGTTGCGTGATTATGCATCCGAATCCTCCAGTGTTGAAGCATGCTAGACTACTGGTAGTTTCCCACTCGTACATACGCCAACAATTGCAAGTAACTAATATACTCATATCTCCACTCACGCTGATATATTTCGTGTGTGTGAAGGCCTGTCGTGTGTTACATCTACTCGGATCACCGAAGCGGTCTTTGTACGAGGGAGTAAATGGAGCGGAAGGAAAATAAATAGTTCCGTATAGATGTATCACGTGATGAGTACATGCAACTTTAGACTCACCACTGTTCACAAGACTCGTTTATATATGGGTCTGGACTCGGCGGACTCTGTCCAAGCTCTGCACCAGCTTCTAGATAGATACACGTGTCATGAGAAAAATATGTTTGTTGAGTCGAGATCCGCGGGCAAGGTGAGCCCTCGACAGATCAAACGGTGAACTGATGCAATCGATTTGCAGTTTGGAGGCCTTGCAATAATATTACAGCTTGCACTCATGATCGACCTGTACCATACGTTGTGCGAACCCATCATCATTTCTTTCACGCTGCTTCTATACTTCCAGCCGCTTCAACCGCGCAAGAAGGCCCACACCACCTGCATAAACCTTTCCGTCTCTTCTAGCTGTGGGACATGCGCTGAGTCCGCAAATTGTATCCATCGGACCTTCGGAATATGCTGAAAGAAGGGCTCTACAACCATGTCCTGTGCTTCATCGTACCTCCCATTGATGAGCAATGTCGTCGCCTGAATATTGTGCAAGCGGTCAATCACGTTCCACGTCCTTAGAGAGCCAGTGATGTAAAATTCATTCGGTCCATTCCTGTTCCCCGAAGGTTGAAGATGCGTGACACAGATGGACGAAACACCTACATGGTTGAGTACACCGTTGGATCCTTTTCCATCCATGCAAGCCCGTCCACCAGGGACTGAGGCATTGGGTCGAGCCTACACAGATGCCTCTTGTAAAATTCGTTCGTTGCGGCAATATACTCTGGATCCGTTGTTGTATCCGCCGCCTCGTGCTTATTCAACGCATCCTGAAGTTCCTGTGGCAACTCCTTCCTCAACTCATTTGCGGCCTTAACCCACAGTGCCATACTCGCTGGCGAATCAGCAATCACCAGCTTCCCGAGGCCTTTCGGTTGGCGCGTTGCAAACTCTGATGCCAACATTCCTCCCCAGCTCTGCCCAAGTACGTTATAGTTGTCATGGATGTTTAAGTGGTTCAGGAGGTTGTGCATCTCGTCAACGAAGAGCTGCACAGTCCAGAAGTCCACGTCTCCGTTCTTCTCTGGGAGATGTGTGGAGCGTCCATTGCCGAGTTGATCATAAAGTATAACGGGTACGTCGAAGAGACGTGTAAGCTCGGAGAGGATGTCGAGGTATTCGTGGGTTGAACCGGGACCGCCGTGAAGTACTACAAGTGGTGTGTTATGTGGGTGGGGAAGAGTACCGTACACCTTGTACCAAGTCTTGCAAGGCTTGCCTGCACCAGGAACATTAAAAGCGGCTTCGCCTTCCCTTACTTTGAGTGAGGACATGTATTTCTGTGGTTTGGGGGTTCCAGGCGATGGTGGGTGGGTGTCGTCAGGTGGATGATAATGCCAGTGCGCGTTGACGTTTATCTTATGACTGATCTAGCATGAGAGAGAAGGCCACATGATGGTTGGTATGTCCGGGCCCCGACGGTACGTTCGTCCCGCCCATTCTTCACATTGATAGTGCTTCAAGCTTCAGATTCTTCAACCTTTCAATAACATCTGGTGTTGACCACGCCTGCAATGTTTGATCTCAATCGATCGCCATCCAAGTTTGTCAGAGTGACATCGAATATCCTGAATGGCCTGTCTTATCGTCTTTTTGAGTCGGACCTCCTTGTGACTGTTATCATCAACCGTGGGGAGTGGTGCACATGGGTTTTGACTTTTCAAACACGCACAAATGATCTTTTTGCATATATCGCAGCATTGATATGGATGATACAGTATGTCAAGGTCAATATTTCCGTGTGAAAAAAACCATACAATTACAATATGTCTAGGGTCCTGATGTTCGTGATGTCAATCGAAGCCGGGTCTTTCACCTGCGCAATGATATATTGGTCCGACGCGACCCTCTTGTATTCTCCAACGCGTTGCTGCGCTACCAAAAGTGCGCTGAAAGCCTGCCCAAGGTGAACCATCAAACGCAATGATCGTAAGTGAGCTTCCGGGTCAACTGACAATTCCTCTTCTCCAGGTGAGTCGCTGGACGGCTCGTCAGTGTCGTCTAATCCAGACTCAGACTCGGACCAACCCCCTACGCTCTCCCCTTTGTCTGAAAAGGTGAGCTGCTCTGAAAAATCAGGCAGCCCAAGGAGACGACGGTCCCATGGACGGATGAGAAAGAACGTCTGCTGAGTGGGCCTTGCGCGCGAGAATTGATTTAGGGTCTCGTCCGTGGTGATCAGCAAGTCCCGAAGCCCATCTGCTTTCACTCCATACGTGGAATGAGCAGCAAGACCCCGCCTTTGTTTGACTTCCGTGACACGGAATGCGATGCAAGGCAGACGGAGTCTGCAGTTTGCGAAGAGGGGAACATTCATGTTCTCGAGCAGGTCATACAACTTCGAAGCTGAATCCACGGGCACAATGTTTCGCAACGAAGAGACCGCTGTCTGAATCTTATCTTCAGACAATGATGGCGGAGTTGCATATGAGATGATGTCGGCTGGAAGGCAACTATTGAACTCGGACGATTGTCCGACCCAGTCCAGGGCGGTGATGTCGCCTGATCTAGCCACGATCTCCTGCAGGAGCCGACCGAGCGCATTTTGCTTCTTCTCGCCATAGATTACAGGCAGGTGGACGCCAAAGATACCAAACAACGAGTAAGCGATGTCTTCTTGTATGGTGGTAACACGTTTCGATGCCCATTGCAGTTTCTCTCGAGCGTCTCTCATCCCTGGACGAAAAGATATCAGGGCCCGTGCATCTACGCCCGTCGCACCCTCTAACTCCTTCATGATTTCAGGGGACTCTTTGTGATTGGAGGAACGATCGTCGAGATATAACGACCAATCCTTCTGATAGAAGATTACAACTTTCGGAGCGACGAATTCTTGAAAGGTCCATCCTCGCTTGTTCCAAACACTCCTGGCCAGCGCGCCGGACTGGGATGAAGGAGGGACATCGGATAGGTAGACTATGGTGAGCGCGGAATGGCGGTACCAGACGAACATGGAGTTGACCGATTCTTGAAGCTCGGTGTTGCTTTTCTTGTCGATGCAGCATGTGTCCATCCACGCCCAGCGATACCCAGCATCACGAGCGACTTTGCAGAACGATTGCACTTTCGCGATCCCGCCAACTCCCTTCAACTCGCGCACATCTATATCCTGTATGTCGTGCAGCAGCACCTCCATCTCTTCCCACCTGTGTGATAGAAGGACGCAACGGAAGTATGTCGCCACTACGTCTTTGATGCGCTCGGTTCGAAGATTCAAATCCTTCGTTGGGAATGAGATGAGCTCATTGTAGTCTGGACTTGTTTTGAAGGAGTTTAGCTGTGCCGCTCGGTCGCACAAAAGACCCGTAGAGGTGTTGAGCAGACGTAGCGGAGCATATTCGAGTTCAATCCAAACAGCTGTTTGAATAGCATCTTCTACTTCGGATGGAGAGACATACAGCTGACGCAGATCTGCAGAAAGAGATAGGCATTTTTAAATTATGCAGGAGTGTTCCATGGCTTACCTCGTATGTGCGGTTCGGGAGCATTATCTAACTTGGACAGCATGATTGTGAAAGCCTCGATGGCTTCGTCGTAACGTTGCGCGCCACGCAGAGCCGCATGTGTCAACTGGTATCCCACATGAGACAAAGGATTGAGTTCGGTGACCTATGCATAGCGGAAGTCAACATGGTCTGCTAAAACGTCGATGCCATCGCACCTTCTGCGCGTCGAGGAGCGCATCCTCCCATAGCATTTTACTCAACTTTGCCTGGCTGCGATTTGCAATGATATCGGATGTAGAATCCAGGTCGACCGCCGTTGAGTATAGGTCAATAGCCTTGTCGTAATCGTTTGCAGCGAAGGCGGCATCTCCGTGGGCAGCGCAGAGCGCGCTGCATTCTTTCTTGAAATCTGAGAGGAATTCGGGTGAGAATTGTAGCCTGCGCAACATTACGGACTCTGGACTCGCCGTTGGACCAGTCAAGGAAATCGGAATTTGTAATTTTGTCACTTGAAACTATTATGTGTTGGTATCTTTTCGCGGCATCTTGAAGTTTACCCGCCCGAAGGAGTGCATGACAGCACTTCTGGTGTGCAGTGAACCACAATGATTTGAGATCCCAGCCAAAGAGCTGGACAAAGGACTTGGTTATGAAAAGTGTTTCGGATCTGAATTAACATACCACCACCAAATCCTCGTAAATTTCATGAATGTCCGATTTGGGTAATAAATCGCTGGAGTCGATAGCGGCAGCGAAATGATCGGCGGCTTCATCGTAACGTGCGCCATCCAACGCTTTGATTCCGAGTTGAACGTGTAGATATGCCTGATGTGCGAGGCGTAAAGATGAGGGTTGATGACCAAGCATGGATGATACTTACTTGCACGATATCACATGCGAGAGTATCGGTATTCGGACAACCGGCAGCGAGCTCTTTGAGGAGCAGCCTTGCCTCGTCATATTGGTCTGCATTGAAGAGCGCGATGGCCTGAAATACGCGATGAAGGGAAGAGTATGCGAGGCAAATGTAACATACCTTGATCAACAGCAAAAAATAAGTGGTTTCTGAATCCTGGTCCGTGTACATGGATGCAACATCAAATGCTGCCCTCGCATCCAGGATGCGACCTTTTCCACAGAGGGCAATACCCTTGGAGATATAGCCCGTCAGTGAGGGCTGAATCCTGATGGACTATGTCACCGTCGAGTTAGCCCTGTATAAGACGTCGATGATTCTCACCTTGATTGCGTCCAGAAGGGCGCGGTCCCAGTCGCATTTTCGCGCCATGACGAATGACCGATGGGCGTAGGAAGTATGGTTGTTCGGACTGGTGTTGATATCTTGAGTGAGTAGTTCTTCGGCGGCAGATAAGTCTCCATTTACACATGCAATACGGGAGGTCGTGATGGCTAGAATCTGCACGAAACATGCTCTAATTGTGGTATATATGAGTCAAGAACGGAACATGCCTTTGAGCGATGGACGTAGGGAGTATGGTTGTTCGCATCGGTATTGATATCTTGCATGAGTAGTTCTTCGTTAGTACATAAGTCTCCATCTATGCATGCATCGAGAACTGTTGTGGTGACAATAGTCTGCAAGAAGCACGCTCGATTTGTGGTATATGAGTCAGAGACGGAAACATGCCTTTGGATGTATACCCTGAGGTACTGTCCACTCTGAGATCATATCGTTACCTCCACCGAACATGTGATTGCCGTTCACGGAGAAAGTGACACATAAATTGGCGAGTGAGTGCTTGCCAGTGAAGACGGCAATGGTTTGTCGACTTGAGAGCTGCCAGAGACGAACATGGTGGTCACTAGATGCGGATGCAACGAGTGTGCCAGCAGGATGGATGGCAATGGAATTGATGTAGTCAGTGTGGCCCGTCCAAGGATCACCGACCTGCTTCCAGGTTTTTGTATCCCATTCGCGTATAGTAGGATCTTCCCCATCACCGCCTGTGAGAAGGCGTGTGCCATCGGGCGTCCACGCGAGTGACGTGTTCCATGATTTGTGACCCTTGAATTTTGCGACGAGTTTCCTCGTGCCTGAATTGTAAATTTGAATATTGTAGTTTGTTGCGATGGCAAGAAGTTCTCCAGACGGTGAATACCGTATGCGGCGGACACGATGACCCCCGATCGGATCTCCTTGCAGCTGCCAGGTTTTGGTATTCCACAGTTTCGTCATTTCGTCCGAATATGAACCAGTGGCCAGCACTGTTCCATCGGGAGAAAAATCCAGCGAGGAGATCCAATTGGAGTGTGCTTCGATTTTGGTGAGTGATTCGCCAGTTTCTCCGTGCCAGACGATGACCTCTCCGATCAGTGCATCACCGCTTGCTATCAATTGCCCATCTCGTGATACCGCTAATCTCAACACCGAATTGCGATGCCCTTCCATCTTCTTCAACACAACACCTGTCTTCAAGTCCCACAGACGAAGCGTCTTGTCCTCCGAGCCCGTAACCATCCGACGTTTATCAGGGAAAACTGCGACTGCAGCTATGCGTCCTTCATGGCCTTTGAACGATCGCAGGGGAGTGGTGATTGTAATGAGCTCCGACATTTTACTGGATGTTAATGGTATGGAATACGGACGAGGCTAAACTTTGCAGAGATTATGTCTTTCTCCAAGCTGCAGAGGGTGTATGGTGCATTTTATGGTGCTTCACAGCTCAATAGACGCCCAGGACATCTAGTAAGGCTGTTCGTGCCCACGCCTCCATCACCGTCATCAGTGAATCAGTGAACAAATGAGAATGGTATCTAAAGCAATATCATGTAAAGCATCGCAACAATCTTCGTAAATCTGCTGACCGCTTCCACATGGGAATATTTGGCATTGTCGAGGAAAGACAAATTTGGAAGCACGCCAGCCCAGTATCACTATTTGCTTCGCGAGCTCTTCCACATGGATGAATCGACGAAAAATTTAATGCGCACAGGTTCATGAAATTAAATACTGACTGGAACTGAGAGGGTCAAGAAAGCAGGATTCAATGTCCTGAAATGAAAGACACTTTGGTGAAGTTCCCCGTAGCGTGAATGGATGACGTTTAGTCTTCGTACAATACATTTTTGCTAGTTCAGGATGACTATAACATGAATGCAACTTGCTCGAACCTAAAAAGCAGAAGTCCGTGGTGCAACAAGATCACGACAGCAGAATCGTGCATATTGCATGTCTATTGGTCGAACGTCAGTCAAAACAATATATATCATTCAATCTTATATCGGATCATCTCTTCTGGCAAAATAAAAAGCCTCCAATTTTGATCCGGTTCAAAGAGTTCCCGGTAGTGACCGTCTCTACAAATGATGTAAAACTTGGTGTAGCGCTACAAGCATACATAATAATTGTGCTAAACGGTAATCACACCCATGAATGGTCCTTTTCACAATTTAACAATGGCCTCCCTAGCCTAAAAATTCTGAACACCGTCTTTAGACATCGAATTTTGGTTAGTCTTTTCTTAGATTACCTGATGACCGTCTGCTTTACATTGGTTAGCAATCCGTGGGAAGAAGCGTTTCCTTTGCGCACAAGCCGAGGTGTGTTCACAGAGCGGGCGATAATCAATTCTGCTTGAAAATTCCAACTTTCACCATTAATGGGACAATTCGTCAACGTGTGACGAAAGCAAATACCTTCCAGAGGATGACGATATGCTCACCGCGCGACCAACAACATATTTATATGCTGCTTGCACTTTTGATGCTATCCTCGTTAGATATCGAATGACTGGGAGTTGTATCCCACTTTGCATACCGTCACAAGATGTCGTAGCCTTGCGTGGGCACTATATATTCATATTATAGTGCTTTGAGTCAGTATTCTCAGTACCTGGGCTCGCGAGTTGTCGGCGGTGTATCCAGTCGTATTGCATTCAAATCACACATCCAGATAAAATTTGATCAAAGCAATGATAGCATTAACATTAGCAACGGAGCGAATAATGTACTATGTAGGACTGAACCGAGCAACGAGGATATAATGATCAACAAGTAAAAAAGTCGGCTACTAGTCGGAGTCAAACGCAGAGTCTTCCATTTGCTGTCTCTGGGCAGCGAGAACATTGACGGACATTTTGGAAATGACGTCCGGCGTCAAATCCTGCTGATGGTTTCTTCCGAAAACTTTTCTGTGCGGGGGTGAGCAATCATAGCGAGTCACTGACAATTGGTTACCTAGTCCACCATTCAAGAAGGCCGTTCAGCCTAGCTCGCGCAGCTGGGCCCGGAGCATTTTCGAAGAAGTCCACAATATTATTCCAGAATATCTCATAGTCGAAATCTCCATCCACTGTGCGCCACGAGGTAATGCTAGAAAGAGCGAATCGGATCTGCAAAAGTCAATGTCAAGTTCACCGTTAGAAACAAGCACTGATACTTACCTGGCAAGCTGTATATGCGATGGTGCGAGGAGTCACCTTCCTCATGCCTATGATAGAGGCGACACATGTTTTTACCTTGACTTGATCTAATTGTCTACGGGCACGACGGTTATTCTCGATGATATCAGCACCGTCACCGTCACCATCCGCTTCATCGGCGGAGGAGGGGGAGGTAAATATGGCCTTGAACCCCTGTAATGCGATGAGATATGATCAAGTTAGAAAATCCGACAGCTCACCATAACTAACAGCTTCGACTTCATGAGATTGCGCTCCAAATCCCCAGAATTAGCTTCGTAGTTTTGATACATAAATAGAGGCCACGAGTTCTCGGACACAATGAAAGCAGTGGTATGGTCACGAACTCCAGCTTTGACCCTGGTCCAAATATTAAGGGAATGTGAATATGGAAGACAGAATCGTCACTTACGCTGAATCCTCCCAGGACCATTCTGCGGGACAAAGTAGTTTACCGCAGGCGTTGTTCATGAATCCTCGATGGTGCTTGTCACTGGTCTTGATGAGTGGAGTGGGATGGAATTCGTCATTAACCCAAGAAGCCACGAGCTCTTTAAGAGTACCCGTGTCATCGCCGCGGGCTGAGTCCACGCCCCGCTTGAGCTACATGCATATGAGTAAGAGGTGTGACAACAAATGAATCAGTACAGAACCTTTCTGCGCATGTCTTCCAAATCGTCATGGTCAAGGTTTGCCAGCTTCTCGTGGACCCATGGTAATGCCTTGGTGAGTTCTATATAACCACACTGAAGTCGGTCCTGTCTGTAGATTTTGGTAAGTAAATCATGTTGATAAGTAGATGGCTATTTACTCCAAGTTACTGGAGTCGCAGCCTTCACAACGCCGGTCGTTTTCGGTGATTAGGTCGTCTATGGATGCGTACAAGACAACCATGCGACAGATTGCTCGCCCCTGAGAGATATAATAAGTTGTCTTCCTACATATGACGAGAAATTAATAGCGCCCTCAGACTTACAAAGAGAAAGTGCAAACCTATGTTTTGTCGCCTTGTCCTGCTTCAAAATTTCAACCTTGCTCATCAAGCTGGCAATTCTTCGCTTTGCCCTTGCATGAGGAGACGTGGGGACACATAAAGAGCCGTCCGGAGGGCCATCTGGCTCATTTTCAGATGCAGACATACCAGAGAAATAAAGCACAGAAGGAGATGGGTGCAGACCGGAAGAGAACCTGCGAAGTCGTCTAAGTTATAACATGTCAATGCAATGTCAATGATGCCAAACAAATTCGGAGACCTTAATTTAACGGATCACCATGCAGAAGCGAGAAAGCTTTTTTGGTTGCTCGTTCAGCCTTTCTCGGTTGCTCGTTCAACCTTACTCGGTTCCTACGACCCTGTTCGTATTAAGCTATTCCATATCACATAACTTCGATCTAGGTCTAGGCCTGATCCGCGTTACTGCTTGCTAAGTTGCATAGTCATCATCATGATAGAAACACGCTGTTTGTAATCAAAACCAAGGATGCTTACCAGTATGGTAGACCTTTTGGACAGATGATTCGTTCTGCATAGCATAGGATGAATCTCGGTCCCAGCATCAATGGACCCTCCCTGAACTGCACACTGCACGTGATTGATCTCGGCGTGCAGAGACTCGGACACGATCCTAGTGAAAATGGGCCTGCGGCAGCAGCAGTGAGTCCGGCCCTGAGTGTCTTTCGAAGTTAGTACCGTACAACCCCCCTAACAAGCATCGACTTCTTACCCTAGCTGTAGTATGCCTGTAAGGATAGAACCACCACCTTTGACCCTGTTGGCGTAGAACGCACAGATCATGATAGCAATGAGACCGTGATGGGGATAGCCTGAGATCACGGACTCAGAGGTGAAGTTGCGGACTCCGGGATTAGTAGGTATGTGTCGATGAGTACGAATTGTCGGATGACTTGGGCAAATTGTCACAGTGCGCGATTTTTCAAAATCAGCCGGCAAATACCGGCAATAGAAGGTGCTACAAACTCTAACTTCTAAGTGTCAAGTATCGTGTCAACATCCTTTACGCTAGCTAAAATTGGACGTCTGGATGGTAACTCGAAAGAACTGAGTAAGGATCCGACTGGATGACAGGGTGCAAATTGTGCCAAGCCTGAGACCTCCGACCGGGTATCACTGGTAAGTGACTTCCTACCTTAGTAGTACCGCCGCAACCGCTGGCACGCTGAGAAACTTTGAATTGCCGCGGCTTCTGTCAAGATCATATCATATCGGGCCAAGCTTTGGTACTACGATAAAAGTTGCATGAGTTCCAACAACTTGGCAGTGAGTTTTGACATCCCATTTGCTCACCATGTCTAGCGCTCTCATATCAAATCCTACTAACTCTCCTACTAGTAGCCGTCTTGTCGATTATCGGAAGATTCTATCTCAGAATATTCGAGTCAACAATACCGGTGATTCGGATTTTCCTCCGGGTCGTCAGCGCACTCGTGCTCAAACTGCTGCTTATCTACTCAGTACCCGTAAAGAACTGCCTGATATCGATAATGAAGCGATGAACCGCATGCGCGCGGTTCAGAATTTTTACGAAAACCCGGCAATCATGATGGACGACCAGCCGATAGAACTCACCGCCCAATGCTACAACCATGACAAGACTGACTCACTGGCAGGACTCAAAAAAAGTAAGTTAAATATATGGGTGCGAGTCATATCATCGGATGCTCACGATGGAGTCGTGTTAGTTGAGTTTAGAGTTCTGTTACACACCACAGATAGCAGCCGATGTACCACATACGTGGACAGGCTATTCTCTGAATCAGACTTTCGGGTCGACATCTTCGACGCTGTAAGTGCTACAATGGACGTTCCGAAGATGTATCAGCACTTGGGATGGCGGTTGTCTACCGCCCGCCGCTCGGACCCGCCCCACCGCCTTTTGACTCCGGATGACATTGATAGTGCTTTTAAAGCTGCTAGAGCAGAGCAGAGCTCTGGGAGGGGGAAGAAGAAAGTTGTGATCGATATCCTCAATACGGTACGAGTTTGATTATCACTAGTGGTCTACCAGTATGGCACATATTAACTTACTTCCAGGTACCGGCGCTAAAGGAAAACCGAACGAAATGAAAGTCAGCCACATTCGAGTCATCTGCTGGCGAGGAGAGCCTGCCATCACTTTTACCGTACACGAAAGAGTTGAAGAATGTAAAGAATAAGCTGCTCTGCTCCGAGCATGGAGATAACACCTTTTGTTGGGTTGATGCAACACAGCCAACTACTCTGCATTATCCGCTTTGCACACAAGACTTGCAAGAGTGGGCTAAGTATTTAGTACGTGCATCATTTGTTATTTTCAAGTTCACTGATCAAGACGGTCATGGTGTTTGTAACTCTACCAGCATGATACTCACGATCCTGACAACCCGTGCATCACTCCGCCCAAGTCTCTCTATTTCGACGAAATTCGAAAGACACGCAAGGAACGATCTACCATAACCTCGTCACTCCAGAGGGTGCCCACCAAGCTCGTCTCACCTGTTATCCACAATCATATCCATCTCGCGCCTGCTGCTGATGACACGACGATCTCCGACGGAGCACTTACCAGACAACAAGGAAATGGTGCCGCCATGCCTTCTCGGCCATTGAAGAGGACATACGCCCTTTACATGGAAAGTGATGAAGAATCAGATGATGACGAACCGCCCCAATCTATCGAGGACGTCCTTGCGAGTATCCATTCTCGCTACCCTGCGCTCAATTTTCCTGAGTATATCGGGAAAATGAAAGATCATGGTATATTTTATTTGCCCACTGCAGCTCACTTCGATATCATATTCTATGAGGAGAATATTGGTATGACAGCAGGTGCTGCGTATACTTTCCAGATGTGTGTTTCCCGAGCTTATATGCAGGCGGAACATTTGAAGGGGAGGAGCAAGGCCAAAGGGAAGAAGAAAGCGTGAGTTGAGTTTGGCGACAATGACGAAGAAATCGTAGCGACACTGGGAACTTCGTCGGTCCCTGACTTCAACTTCGGGAGCTCAAGAAATGACGATAGATTGGTAGCAAACAGTCTATCATTACACAAAAATCATTCGCGTAGTATGTACGGCACTTCGCAAATTAGATGCAATGCACTATAGATTTCACAATGTTATTTGAGTCTATCATCATCGCGGACAGTATGTGGGAGGAAAGTTGTTATGGATACCGAATTGACCGAGTCCCACTAGTAGTAGTCTGACTCGCTCACGAACATCATTTCCATAACATACATGCATGTTCAAACAACTATTGGCTATACTACTTCTGGCAGATACAAGGAACGGTTGAGTGCATGAGATACGTCTTGCCAGGTCCGTGACGCTACCCGAATAAGTGTCCACATATGACGGATTCTGCCTCATTCATTAGGACTACAATCACATGAGGATGATAATGGTCTCACCTCAGTTGTCAAACTCAGGCTCGGAGTTCAAGGCCAACCTGTCCTTCAACTCGCACTCGAAGGCCTTGCCCTCCATCGTGTTATTATTACCAGGCACATGATTCTCGGGCTGACACAAGTCACACGCAAGACCCTCGGCCTGATCAAGCTGCGAATCAGCAGTGAGGAATGCCGTTATTTCACGCTGATAACGTTTCTTCTTTGCGTCTATGTCAACTTCGCGCCCCATCTCATTCCTTCGGCTCAAAAGATCTTGGAGGAATTTGATCTCCGCGCTGGTACGAGCATATCTGATAGCATCCTGCTGGAGGACCAGTTGAGACAACGTAGCGTGTTGAACATCTGCCTCCACTTCCCAAGCAGTTGCCAGGGCAAGGACGTGCTGCCATTCCCGCTTAGCTTGCTGCGCGATGATGGCTTGCGTGACAATCTGAATAGAAATAAATCTCAGGCCGTTCTCCAAGGTCTCTTGGCTCTCAGGCTGGTAGGGTGCTTGTCAATATGAAACGGTACACCCATAATGTTAACATAGTACCTCTTGGTGGTCAACTCCCGGATCCAAGTTCGGGCAAGACTTCTTGAGCTGTGATTTTGCACATTTCACAGAGTAAGATAAATTCTTTATTACATGGGGGATGCGCGGAGGCACACGGAGTTCATCGTCTGATGAACCACTGTCGTCGCCGATGGGTGCCCGTTGGCGCTCATATGGTTTGGGACTCAGGTGCCTGCTCTTGAGCCATCTGGAAGAGTTAGGACTGTTATCAGGGCTTTTGCTAGTTGCGATAGAACTTGGAGGAGTGGTGAGTTGGCTGTACATTTATGTACACGTATATCCTGGAGGGTAGCGGTAGCAGATGGGGGATATGAAGCTGGACCTCAAAGTGTCGCTTTGACACGTAATTAGGATTGTTTGTGATTCTCACGGACTTCCTTCTATCCCAAGAGGAGTCCGAACAGCGGCAAACTCAGAACCTTATAGATCCTATGAAAAGGCTACAGCCACCTAAACTAACTTCGATTGGTCTTATGGGCTTATCCATTTGCAACCAAGCATGAACCAAGCATGAAGCATGCATGTTTGTCGCCTTAATGTCGGGGCAGTTGAATCACTTGACTGGTCCGGGTATCTAGACTCTGGAGTCAGTTGGGTGAATTGGTATTAGCCTGAGAAATACGGTCGTGTGATTCAAATTGGATGATCGATCCGGTTCAAATCAGACCTAACGTTACGGTAGTACCAGTACCCCCATTTCAATGCCATGGTCTACCAGTGTACCGTGACTAGCCTCACCCCAATTTCAATGCCGTGGTCTGTAGGCACCCCCTAGTATTGCCACTGGCATGACTTCTACTAAAGAAGGCTGTTTCCCATCAAGTTATAGTGGCAATCATCTCATTGAATCTTTGACAAGTTTGCCTACTAACTTCTTGTACCCAGATTCGAGTCATGCAGCGATCGCTACCGTTGCCAGAGCCCTGGCCAGCGGCGGCGGCCTCCGAGTCATCTAATAATGACTATGATGACTCAGATGACTTCAAGTTGTCGTTGGACCTAGCGTACGGTCAGAGTCATGATGACCGTAGTAGTGATTGGAAGGCCCTACCGTATCCGAGTCATGATGACAGATCGCAGCACAGTCACATTTTCCCTGGCGCACAGGGTGACCTAGCACTCGCTAATCCCACCAGTTTTTCCAACGCCGATTTATACACTTCGAGTTCTCCTCGAGAGTCTGAACCTTCCTTCCACTCAGACTCGGTCGCCCACCAGGCATCCTTGGCGGGCGTGCCAGGTTTACAAACCATTTGTAGGCATTGTCCATTCATGCTAACTTCATGTCACTGACTCGGAACTACCTGTAGCTGACAGTTTCAGCATGGACCGACGTCAGGGTCAGTCGCAGTTGTACCGGCAGCAGGAGGCTCAGAATTATGAGGATTGGGTGGCCTTATCCAATTCGTCGCGTATCTGGTTGCCTTACAACGTACCTGGCAGTCGTAGTACTTTCCTTGGCACACAGCACCTAGATCCAAACAAATTTTATGCCAATTGTTACTCTCCTCAAGAGCCTGGACCTTTCCAACCCTACTCGGACTTGGTCACTCACCAGGCGCCCTCAGGTATGTCATGTACACAGACCGTTGGTGGGCATTACCTATTCATACTAACTTTCTGTCGCTGACTCAGAACCACGTGTAGCTAATAGTTTCAGCGTGGACCGATCTCAGAGTCAGCAGTTGCAGCGACAGTGGGACGCTCAGAGTCATGATGATGATCGCCGGGAGGCCCTACTTGGCAGATCGCAGAGTACCTCAGGCTGGTCGCCATACAATATATCTGCCAGTGGCAGTCATACTTCCCCTGGCACACAGCACCTAGCACTCGCTGATCCCACCAGTTTTGGTGCCGATTCACATACTTCAAGTTCCTCTCGAGAGCCTGGGCCTTCAAAATCCCACTCCGACTCGGTCACCCACCAGGTGCCCTCAGGCACGCCAGGTAGGCATCGTCCATTCACGCTAAATTATGCCGCTGACTTAGAACCACCTGCAGCTGATAGAGTCAGTGGTGTCGAAATCGACACAAGACTCCTAACAGTACCTCGACTCAACATCAGCTTGCCATTACATTGGTTTAATCCATATTGTAGACCTGGCGCCGTCCAAGCTAGTCGTGATCCAATACTTTTGGACTCCAACTTGGAAATGGTTGGTCCGAGTCATAGTGTAACAGTAACACCTCCGCCCCTGCCGTTGCGGCGGGGCCTCTATTCCCTACCGATGCTATTACTACGATCCCGCGAGCATTTCACGTGTTTTATATTCAACGATCGTGACGGCTTCCTCATGGATGCAGACACCTTGAAAGGTCATGCACGTCGCAGCTTAGACGCAACGTTCGGACAAAATAATCGCAAGTGTCTCGAATTACTCGATCTCAATGGCTAACAATTGAAAAAAGTCGATCTTATCAAGTGGGCCAGTGGCGAGCCCGGAGTCCTCGAGGTATGCAAGATAATCCAAACCCAAAAATTCATCAAGGATGAAATTAGAGATTGTTTGGCAATGTGCTGCGAATCCCTATACGGCATCTGGGATGCCCTTGGCGAGATGTCTGAACAAGACTTTATAGCCTTTATCGCAGACCTTCTTACGGGGGAGAAGTTTCTTAACGGGCCTATTGAGGTAAGCCACTGCTCCCCAGCCCGGGCTTGAAGTTCGTTCTAAATCTTGTGGTGCTTGCTTCAGGTCGAAGGGGTAATGCGTAACATTCCCTTTGGACATGTTGGTATGCGTACCTCTGTGAGACACTTGCTATATTCTGGACTCCGTTACGAGCAGTACATCAGCCCTAGTTTGAACCTCGAGCCACTCCTCACATTTGTCAGTCTGGCGATTGCTTGGGTGTTGTCCCAACACAAAAGTGGAACTTTTGTTAAAATTGGTTTCGTTAGTAGCAGTCCTGATAGGGTCGAGCTTCACAAAAGGCTACGGAAAATTTTTCAAAAATTGACACCGGCCGAGTTGAGGGCTTTAACCATACATATCTTCACACAAAGGGGTGTACCGCCAAATATTTAGTTACATCAAAAATGTAGTAGTTCAAAGCAATGAAATGGATCTGATTTCCACATGTGGGAGCCTCGTGTCTGTACGTGACCAGTGCTCTCTTAGTAATGATGACTCACTCGGTGAACAACCACCGGCCGCGATGATCGACTGCGGAGTTAGTACGCACACCATTGCACCCAAACTTGAAGCTGTCACAGTCTTCCTAATTGCCAACATACATACAAGCTGAGTGTACTACAAGTCTCAAATTCGTTCAGACAGGCGTGAAGTTATGTGATTCTGCGTATCTGCTTTCTTCTAAAAACTCCAAGTACCTCAGGGAAGTCGGATATGGTTGTACTACTACTAGTACTACTTGAACGGCAAGAAGTAGTATGTGTCACTCCGTCACTTGGTCCACAGCTGCTAGTTCTGTTCATGCTTGCGGCATTTCAGATACTACGCCCTTCACATAGTCAACACTATTCGCGTTGGCGTGGGCCTCCTCGGCGTGCTCGCCCAATTCCATTTTTGCATCTTGCGCAAGGTAGTCTGTCAGACTCAGATAAGGAATGCGTTGGCCAATGAGGTACGTTCCTGCCCTCCGTAATGTTCATGGGGCCTAGTATTGATATAGGGCTTTAGTCATGCTTTATAAACCTCGTATCGACACCTGAAATCACGCATACAATGGCAGTCGTCGAACTCGGTTTCGTTACATCCCCTGCCAGGTGCATCCCGGACCCCTTTACCTCTCCTCACCACTCCTCCGAGATCAGACTCACATGAAGGTGCTATATGCTGGCAACCTGTGGTATGATAAGTGAGACATTGTTGATGCAGCTTGCGGTTTTTCAAGTGCGTTTATGACACAAGCTTAGAGATGTCATGACTTGTGCTGATGAACTATCCAGGTGATTATTATCGGTGCCACCAAGTCAAAGACGCGATTATCACTGGCATGACCATGCGCTGAGAAGACCATTCGACAAGGAATTCGACTGTACTCAAGCATCTCCGATGCCCTGGAGGCTCATGAACGAATATTGATGACATTAAAATCAAGAATCGGCAGTGGCTCGGAGGGCTGGACTGGAGACGGGGAAAGTGCCGAGAATTGGATATTAAGAGATTTGATTTGGAGCGTTATTTTGATGGTGGGGTTGATTTTTGGGTGCGTGATAAGTTTGTATGCACTGGTTATTTAATTCTGAGTCATCTACCAGTACTACTGCTACTACAGGCCAATATCGAAAGTCATGCGCGCACTCGGCAAGGTGTAGTGAATCAATACAGAACCTGTTGAAGTTGTTCTCGGAATGCCACGGGGTGACCGTTACTATTCTCCGCTGCCAGTGAAGACTCGAAACGTGACCCGGGCTAACTCTTGGTCTAACTTACTTTCCGACGTCGGATGACCTTGAGTTTTTGATCCTGTGACAATGTCCGAGTCACTTTCCGAGGAGCGAGTCGCATGCAAAAACCCTGAAGTCCGCTGACTGAGCCTGCCCAGGGTCCCTTCAGTTAGTAAGGTGGTCCGGGGGCCTGACTCGAGCCGTGAGAGTGGATTTTGCGTACGTATCACATCAGACTACCCTAGTGACTAGTCACTACTTTTACTACTACAAGTGACTCTTAGTTCGAGTCTGAGTCAGACTGGAATTCCAGCCTGCCGCTGTTACGACTCTGGCTGGCAAGTCGAATGCGCGAAAAGCTTCTTTGCGTTGTGTTCTTTTTTCTCTTCATTAATTTGATGCTACAGTGGCTCAAAAAAGTGTCCCAATGTTTGTAGCTTTTCATGTAATTGCTATATCATGTGTCGAGACGTGGGAATATGACTAAGCTATAGGGAGATGTCGGAAAGGTCTGCATCTCAGCTTCATTTCGGTTCCCTATACCGTGGGAAACTAATGACATTATGTGAAGATATGAGTATTTTAATTTGATGACTCATTGGGACACTTTTTTGACTTTGAGTTTTACTAATGTAATCTCTATAATTCTAGTACTGTGTGTGACCTCCTTCTGCTCCAATCACTTCTGCCACTCTTCTAAACATATTCTCTATCAATTTTGGGTATTCCTCTTTGGTGATTCCATCATACTCTGCTGTAACACTGTCTCATAGTTGGAATAGCCCCTATAGTGAATCTTGATATGCTACAAGTAATTTCTTGAGTGATTCTCAGGGGTATTCAATATGTTTGATGTCTTGGGTCTATGTTGAACATGATAGAATAGTAATATTATGGTCTTTAAGTTATTTGGTAGCCAATCTAGAAGGTTGCTCTATAAGACTTAAGATCTCTTAATCACTATATTCTAATTGGAAAGACTGCTGATGCTAATAAAGTGATTAAATTGATTATTTCCATCATTCCTATGACTATCTCTACTCAAATAGTCAGACAGACTCTCAAGACAGCCCATCTTAAAGCTATAATCAAGAAAAACAGATTCCTCTGTCTCCAACCTATAAAAATAAAAGACAAGATGCTACTTTCAAGTACAAATATCGGACTGCTAATAGCTGAAAGAGGTTTATCTAGTTAGATAAGGTTAAAATCAATAGGATGAAATCATATGGCAAGGAATTTATATTAAAATAGATAAGACAATCATTAAGATAAAGAAAAGTTAAATAAACACCTTAAGTTTCAAGACAAAACTTGATGGTATAGGACTATATGAGATAAAATGGAGTGGGAATCTTCTATGAAGCAAAGGGGAGGATGAATACAGAGTAGTAAATACTCATTTGACAGGAGTGTCTGCTAAGAAGCATGCAGAAGTTATGAGTTAATGAAGAAGATACTGTTTTGTGATAAGACAATGACCCCAAGTATACCTCTAAATAAGCCACCAATAGCTTGCAAACCATGATATTACTATTCTATCATGTTTAACATAGACCCAAGACATCAAACATATTGAATACCCCTGAGAATCACTCAAGAAATTACTTGTAGCATATCAAGATTCACTGTAGGGGCTATTCCAACTATGAGACAGTGTTACAGCAGAGTATGATGGAATCACCAAAGAGAAATACCCAAAATTGATAGAGAATATGTTTAGAAGAGTGGCAGAAGTGATTGGAGCAGAAGGAGGTCACACACAGTACTAGAATTATAGAGATTACATTAGTAAAACTCAAAGTCAAAAAAGTGTCCCAATGAGTCATCAAATTAAAATACTCATATCTTCACATAATGTCATTAGTTTCCCACGGTATAGGAAACCGAAATGAAGCTGAGATGCAGACCTTTCCGACATCTCCCTATAGCTTAGTCATATTCCCATGTCTCGACACATGATATAGCAATTACATGAAAAGCTACAAACATTGGGACACTTTTTTGAGCCACTGTAATGCAAGATAGAGATGTGAGAATGTGAGATGTAAAGGAATAGATTTCTACTATATTCTGCTAAGTAGTAAGTGAGTAGTAAGTAGTCAGTTGAAGGAAAAGTAAGTTAAAAGATCCATGAAAGGTAGGAAAAGTAAGTTGGAAAGTAAGTTAGTAATAGTATGTACTGCTGGCACTTATATAGCGCGCCTAAGCGCTGTAATGCGGAGCCGAAGCGCTACCAAGTAGGTATGTAGAGATATATATAAGTAAGGGTCCATGATAAAAATAAAGTGGAACAATATACAAATGAGAAAAACAGAAATATATGCACTAGAGAACTTGGAGGACAGTGGATGGATGCATCTGGATGGCTGGCGCCATAGGGCGCTCAAGCGCGGGAAAGCTGCGCCTCATATAGGGATAGCTGTGGGTAGCACACAGAGTGATACTACAAGTTCATGCTGTGAACTTCCTAGTGAAAGGTGCCATATCACGCCATGAGAGGCATAAGTCTCTACAGCGGGAATTCCGGTGGACGTTCGGGAATGAGAGGTAAGACTAATCCGGACGAAGTCCGAACTAGAAAGGAAACAGCGGAGGACTACCAAAGGTAGAGGCGGAGGTGACAAGTCTATAGGAATAAATCCTAAGACGAGCGGAGGTCGACGAGAGGATAACTCAAGTCGGACGGAGGAAGGAATGAGCAGAGTCTAAGATAATATTCGAACTAAGGATGTACATAGATTCTACAGGGTTTATATACTACTGAGATGCGAAGTCCAAAGCTATACAAAGCGGTGGACGGAGCGTATAAAAAAGTCAAATGCTAGTCTATCAGAAAATAGTAAATGAACCCGGAGATTAGATCAGAGGAAAATAAAGGGCGGAAATGAAACGAGGTACGGAAAATGATATAGTCTAACCAGAGTAGGAACCTACAAAGGGATAAGGCATGGAAGTTAGACACGGGTCGGATCCAGACATAGATAGACGTTGGCCGGATCCAGATATCCAGAAATGATATGTGTGATAGGTCCGGGTCTGGAACGCGGAATATGACATGAAGCGCGATAGCCTCATCCAAATCTTTCTCCTTGCCTCGGTGGTGAAAGCGAGAGGATAGTTGATTTGCGAGGTTGTTTAATGACATGGACCAATCTGTGTGACCAACCGGAAACAAAGCCAGTGCTTCCTTCTGAAGTAAGATAGCCTGTTTCAAGTCTTCGACATTGCCTTGACGCTTGAAGCGAGTCTTCAGCATCACGGACACATTACCTAGCAATTGCCCTCGGTAAGCATGCCCGGTATGGTAGTATCCCAGTGCTTCGCAATAAAGGGATATCACTTCATCTAAGGCACGGGGTTCATCTCTTTCCAAATACTGCCTCGCTCGATCAGCAAGTTGATTCGGTGATAACAGAAGCATGGCCACAGCGGGCTGCTCCTGCCCAACATCATTTGCATCAATGCTTCCAGCAGGATGTAGAATGCATGTTTCCACTGCAATCAAAGCTGCTCTGGAAATGTGGCTGTTGGCATGGCAGACTTCAAGGACTTCGCTCAGCAACTCTTCAGCTGCATCAGCATCCGCTGACCTGCACCAAATTGGTTCGGTGCATGGATGACTAATGCTCTCCCATGAGCCTAATACCCTAGAAATCACTACGAAACCATTTCCCTCTATTCTAAAGCCAGAATGCAGCTCAGACAAATATTTCATTTCATCTTTTCAATGGAACTCGGACAGGCTGAATATTTTTGTATATTTAATTCTGCGATGAATTTTGCTTAGTCATCCTCAACAATGACTCAGGCTGAATCCCACACATGTCAGGTGACTGTGAAAAATAGTTCTCGCATGGGTTACCCTGGGAAAACTTCCTCAAAACCCTAAATACTTGCCTTGCGTCATTTTCTCATTCAACAAAGTGACATCAGAACGGAACACCAATGATCATGAATATTTCTCTTGCAGCGCACAATCAGCCTGTCACATGACCCTTTCGAGATACGATTGTTACAAGGCATTGTTGTTGAAGGAAGGTTTGAAGAGGTGTCTTTTTTTTTCTTTGTTTCTTTTTGTCATCACCATACCGTTGGGTTGACTAGTTTTCTTTCGTCTTTCAATCACTGCCATACTGTTGGAGTGATTTCATTTCAGTTTCATTTTTTTTGTTGGATTGACTGCATTGTTGCTGACCTTACAGAAGTACTGTTGTCTGACATAGCTTGGGAAGTGTAAACAGCCACCCACGAACAACCACGTTATCAGCCATTGGTATTTGTCTGAATCGCTGACCGTGGAGATATTTGTTTTTATAGGTGTTTATCTATAGATCATCTATCTAAGAAGACACCGCTTGAAATTTCCATTTCGCGAAGCACGACAGTAAACCAATGGCAAGATGGAGCTGGGTGACCGTTCGGTCCAGATGA